GTGTCCCCTGTGGTCATCAGAAGCTGAAGCTTTGCTTCCTGTTCTGGTTCTTTGCATTGTTGAAGGCAATTTCAAGAGGACCTTTTTCCGTTTTCAAACCTTCCTGAATTATTGGCAGCTAGTGTGACCTATTTAAAACACCTCTGCTGGCCTGCGTGTCATCTGGTGGGAAGAGCTGAAAGGTCAGATGTGCCCTCTGCACTCCCCATCACTGTGTGACTGTCAAAACCCACTGCTGATTGCGTGACCTCTGCCAAACCATGGGCCCCTCGGGGTCTCCATTTTCATCTATAGAACAGGTAAGTGTAGACCAATGGAACAAAATCGACAAACCAGAAACAAACCCTCACATGTGTGGTCTGTGATGTTTGACAAGGGTGCCAAGATGATTCGATGGGAAAAGAACAGTCTTTCCAACAAATGGTGGTGGGACGACAGGGTCTCCACATGCAAAAGAATAAAGTTGGACCCTTACCTCACACCATATGCAAAAATTAACTCAAAATGGATCAAAGACCTAAAGATAAAAGATAAAACTCAGAAGAAAACATAGGGGGAAGCTTCATGACATTGGATTTGGCATTAATATTCTATATAATGACACCAGAAGCACAAGCAACAAAAGGAAGAAAAATACATCAAAATTTAAAACTTTTGTGCACCAAGGACACTAACAATAAATGAAAAGGCAAACTTTCATAGAATGGGAGAAAGTAACCACAAATCATGTATCTGATAAGGGATTAATATCTAGTATATATACAAAGCTCCCATAACTCAAAAATAAAAAGACAAACAACCAATTACAATGGAAAAAGGACTTGAATAGACATTTCTCCAAAGAATATATACAAATAGCCAATAAACACATGGGAAGATGCTCAACATCACTAATCATTAGGGGAATGCAAGTCAAACCACAATGAGATACCACCTCACACCATTAAAATGGCTACTATATATACATACAAAAGTGGAAAAGTTGGAACTTCGTTCACTGTTGGTAGGAATGTAAGATGCAGCTGCTGTATGGGAAATAGTATGGAGGGTCCTCAAAAAATTAAACATAGAATTACCATATAACCCACCACTTCTGGGTATAGAACCAAAAAAATTGAAAGCAGGGACTTGAGGGTATTTGTGCACCAACGTTCATAGCAGCATTGCTCACATTGGCCAAAAGATGGAAACAAACCAAGTATCTATCAACAAATGAATGGATGAGCAAAATGTGGTAGCTACATACAATGGAGTATTACTCAGTCTTAAAAAGGAAGCAAATTCTGACACATGCTGCAACATGGGCTAACCTTGAAGCTATGCTGAGTGAAATAAGCGAGGACAAATACTGTGATATTACGTACATGAGGTCCCTAGCATCATCAAATTCAGAGACAGAAAGTAGACGGTAGGTGCCAAGGCTGGGGCACGAGGATGGCGAGTTAGTGTTTCCTGTGGACAGAGGTTCACTTTGGGAAGATGGAAAAGTTCTGGAGATGATGGAGGTGACGGCTGCACAACAATGTGAATGTGTTAATGCCAGCGAACACTTAAAAATAGTTAAAGTGGTAAATTTCATGTTCTGCATACTTAACCACACACACACAGAATAGGTAAGAATTCCCACCTTGACCTATTTATCCACCAGGTACGTATGTTCCCACTCTTAGAGGCAGACATGGGCCGCTTTGTGGAACCTCGAGTCTATGAGGTCAGACATTGATCAAATAGTCACATGCACACATACACTCACACACTCACACACACGTGCACTCATACACTCATGCATACACACACTCACATGTGCATGCGTAAGTCCACACTGCACTTACGTGCGAGAGAAGCAGTGAACTGCAAGCTGGCTCCAGGCTCATCTCTGCCAGGCGGTGTGAGGGAGAGGGGCTGGGTATGAGGAGGGCACACACTGGCCAGCTCCTCAGGTCCTCTCCTTCCAGGGCAACAGAGAAGCCCCTCTTCTTGGGTGCCTTGGTCAGAGGGACAAGAGGAGGACCCAGCAGGGACTCCCGGGAACTGACTCAGCCACAGGGCAGGAAGAACAGATCTGACCTCTGCTCACCTACAACCCTCACCCTCCCCAGGTGAGGGGTAACAGCCATCTCTGCCAGCTTGGTCCCTGGTGGTGATGCCCCCTCTCTGTCCCCAGACTCCCACCTACTCTCGTCCTTGGTCAGACTCATCTGGACTGGGACAGGTGACTCTCCCAGCTGGCAAAGGTGAGTTTAGTGGTGACCTGGGTGGTGGCCAATGTCAGGTGTCCTGACTGTTCTGGGATTATTTTCCTCTTCATGAAGAACTGGGCAAGAGCTCCAGGGGTCTTCAGCAGGTTCTTCATTTCTCCAAAAGTCAAATTAGGAGCTGGGTCAACACACGTTCAAATGGCGAAGAGCCGTGAGAGCAGGTGACAGGGGCCAGTGACCAGGGGATGGGGAACGGCGGACTGGAGATGGAGGTAGGGGGTTTGGGACTAAGATTGGGGTGGGGGTTGGGGATGAGGAAGGAGTTATGGGACAGGAAAGATGGGGGACAGAGCATGGGGGAGGTGGAGAACAAGGATGGGGGACTGGGTACAGTGGTGCCTTGGCAGCTGGCCTGGCTCAGCCTCTCTGCGACCTGGCCCGGCCTGGCCGGCAGCTGGCAGCTTCCTCTGCTCGCCCCAAACACCTGCTCCAAGTGGACCAGTGCAGCTCAAGCAAAGCAACGTGATAAATGAAAAGTTGCAAGTCAGTGTTTCCACAACTTTCTAGGGTGTTGTTGCCTCCCCACCACTTTAAGCCCCACTGTTCCAGGTTTCTCGGTGGCCTCTATGAATTCCATGCCTGCAGGTCAGAATGAGGTGGCTGGAGTCCTTCTGAGGTGTGACTGCACTGCCCCCGTGTGGCCAACAGACTGCTTGGGGGCTGTACTGGGCCTCCTTTGTCTTCCTGCCCTCTGCCAGAGCAGCCTGGTAGCTCAGGAGGGCTTGCTCACCATCCTTCAGGTAACCCTGCCCCCAACAGGACTCCCCCCCGCCCAAAGCTCACCTGCCTCTCTGGCCTTCCAGAGAGCAGGGTTGTGTCTTCCCCAACCCCAGCCCTCAGCGGCTGCCCATCCCGCCATTCACCATCCCCCACATGCTCCATGTCCCCCACTCTTCACTGTGACTCCACTGGCCAAAACCTTTGACTCCCACTGACAGGGTCTGTGCCACACACCTGAGTGTACCACAAACCTGAGCACATGTGTGCCTTACCTCACAGTATCTATACCACACACCTGTAGCATACCTGAGAGTATCTGCACCACACACCCGGCTACACCTGTACCTTATCTGAGAGTATCTGTACCATGCCTGAGCACATGTGTGCCTTACCTGAATCTGCACCACACACCTGAGCATATCTGTCCCTTACATATCTGCGCCACACACCTGAGCATATCTGTCCCTTACATATCTGCACCACACACCTGAGCATATCTGTCCCTTACATATCTGCCACACACCTGAGCATATCTGTCCCTTACATATCTGTGCCACACACCTGGGAGCTGCTGAGAAGCCCACACTGTTTTCATACAGGAACAGCTCTCCCTGCTGATGCGGGGAGACCTAAACCCATCTGCACTCTGACCTTTTCCTTATAAGTGTCCATCTCCCCTAAGTCAGGAATGCAGAGCTAATCCCATTCACATGTCATCCAGTCTCCTCATTGTGGCTGATCTAGTGAGAGAGGACAGGTCTCTCAGCATCTACTCTGTCTGGCGTTGAGTGACCCACGGAGATTAAACACCATGTACCTGGGGGCAGGCGCCTCGCCAAGGCCTTGAAGTGCCATTGCTCCAAGACCAGCTCGAGGGGCCTCCAGCTTCCCGGGGCTTCAGGCTGAATCCAGGGCCCAAGTGGCTGCAGGTGCAGGGCAGGGTGGTGAGGAGGGTAGACTAGGACAGCCAGCATTTGGAGGATGGGGCACAAAGCAGGGTGAGGCTGAATGGGTGGCCACGCCTGCTGCCCTCACTAGATTTAAGCTTGGGGTCCTTACAGACCTGAGATCAAGGGGAATGGCATCCTCCACAGGCATCTCTGGTAGCCATGGTGTGTCCCCGGCATGGGAACGGGTACAAGGAAGCAATGCAGATTACTGGGTGCAGGAGGTGTGGGTATGGGATTAAATGAAGATGTTGAATCCAATGTTCATAACTCAAGAGAAACCATCTGGGCACCTGGATGTGTGGGACTCACAGTTTGAGTTTGAAGGCCCCACAGTCTGGAGCGTGGGACCTGGGGGTCTGAAGGCCACTTGTAGTTGTAAATTTAGGGTTTGGGGTCAGGGAATTGACATCAACAAGTAGAACTTGGGGTCATGTGTTGGTGCTGTCATGACTGTGTAGACATCCAGAGGCATCCAACATGAAAAGAAGTGGAAATCCTCAGAGACCTGTGGACCCTCCCCTACTGAGCTCACAAGGCCAGTCTCTGAGCCCCACAGACTGTGATCCCTCTAATCAAAGACACCACAGATAAGAAACCCACACCTCCCCAGGTCCTCATATCTCCAACCGGCAAGGTGCCCAATCACGGACCCTCAGGGCCACTCAATTTCTCACGACAACCATCCAGAACCCAAATGCCCTCACAGTGCCTCCCCAATTCTGATTTGAGGAAGCACACTTAAAAGGGGGGAGGGGCAGCCTAAAGTGATTCCATGAGTGGCAGGGCCAAGGGTCACGGGCTGACAGACCACTCACTTCACTTTCGTGTCTGAAAACTCGAACAGACCATCACAGGACAGAGAATGAATCACTAGTAAATGCCAAAAACACACCTCTACACTAATTGGAATGTTTATGTTCAAAGAAGTTCTGTGAAATTGAAACAAACTCCTGTAACAGGACGAATGGGATCTATGCATTTCTACACGTGAGTCGTGTGGACACCTGAAAGTGACCTGAAGGTGTCCCGAACCCCTCATGAACACATCAGAGATGAACTGGGACAAGGGGTACACTGTTTTATTGCTTACATTGCATATTCAAATGAATACAATAAACTTTATTAAAAAGTAAGGCACATGAAAAGCCTTCTGTGCAAGTTCCCTATTATTTTCAAATTCCTATGGCTAATAATAGTATTTCCACTATAGAGCTGGAGCTATATAGAAAAGCACATGATCAATGTTTTACATGCAGAATACCTGAAACATTATTATATCTTACCTCATGGCACAATTAAACAGTCCCAAATCAAATGCCTGTATCTGAATAACAATATGACTATTGCTATGACTGCAAAAATGTTAATCAGCTTATCCACATATGTACAGTTGGGTCCCCGAATATTAATTATATAAAGTCTAAAGGAGGAACAGTGACTACTGCATCTGCACTCCGTTTCATTAATGGTAAGAGATTTGGCATTTCCAGTCTTTTTTCCGTAAGTCACGTTGCTGTTTGTACAAGGCCAGTATTATACGATGCTGAAGACCATGGAGAGATACTGTTCATATGACACCTGAATCCAGCCGTCCTGATCCGTATCATAGCGTCTGAATATATCTGTCAACCTCTGGGGAAAAAAACACAGGCATTTAGATCTTGATATTAAACAGAAGGAACAAAATGAATCTGGCAAAAAGACATTAGGAACCCAGTTTCAGAAGCATTCATGTTTCCACACTCCCTGACAGAGGCCAGCGCAGGGAAGCACTTGTGGGGGATTGATTCTTGCCCATCTGCCAAGCCAGGTCTGACCCCAGGCTCCTCCCTCAAACCTGTCCCCAGCAGGTGAGGCCCCACATGTATGTTGGAAGGGCAGGTCTCCCTTCACCAGCTCAGGGCCCATCCTGCCCCCGGCATGTCCTGTCTGCCAATCCCCCACCCCAGGGCTCCATCTTAGTCTGTCATAAGTCTGACCACCCAGGCCAGGTCAGGAGAGAGGGAAACCTCCAGTACTGATCAGCAGGCACAGTGCTGTAAGGGCTGCCCCAGGGGACAGGGCTGGCGACCACAATGGATTCTGAAGAAGTATAATGACAAGAGAAGAAAACAACGCCCGGGTTCATGATGGCCTTGGTGGCCAGCCAGCTGCCCAAGGAGAGGCCTGGAGAAAGGCTGGAGCCTGGCCACACGGGCTGTGCATGCCCCAGTCTTCTCAGGCTCCACCTTTTGCCCCAGTACCGGGCAGGTGAAATGACTACAAGAAATGGGGCCTTACACAGGTGACCATCCCCTCGGTGTCAGCCAGGAGCTTCCCAGCTTGTGTGCAAAACAAGGACAGAAAGCAAAAGCAGCACTAACTCTGGCTTAAAGAACAATGGGCAATCTTTCTTTCTTCTTTTTTTAAATCCTCCCCGAGGATAGTTTTCCATTTATCTTCAGATAGAGGAGGAAGGAAGAAGGGGGAAGGGGGAGAGAAAGAAAGAAACATCACTGTGAGAGACACACATAGACTGGGTGCCCCCCGCACGACCCGACCAGGGCCAGGGACGAACTGCCACCAAGGTACGTTGTGGAATTAAACCCATGACTCATTCTTAAGCTGAAGCTTAAGTGTTAACAGACCTGGATCTGAAGAGAGACTGACCCACAAGATTCACTGGTAAAGAAATCAGAAAAACTTCACTTTTACTGATCTATCATTTTAATGGGAAAAATAAAACTGAGAATATTTTTTAAAATTCCAAATTATAGTTAAAAACCTCATGCTGTTCACATCCTCAGTGCATTCTAAAGCTGACAAAATGGAACTTCAACTTGGATTCAAGTTGCAAGGACTTATCTTCTAGAGATGGATTCTACTGAAATATTGATGGAAAAAACACTCTCTTTCCACTAAGTGGAATTTGCTTCAGAATAATTGGGGGGGGGGGGGTGAAGGGTTATAGATAGTTATTATAATTCACTGGCCATGAGTGATAACTGTTGAATTTGAGTGATGGGCACATTGGGTTCCTTTCACTGTTGTCTCTGCTGTGGTTATTTGTTGTTGTTGTTGTTGTTGTTGTTAATCCTCATCCAAGGATTCTTTTCCATTTATAATTTTTTTTTTTTTTTTTATCCTCACCCGAGGACATTTTTTTGTTGTTCAGATAGAGTGGGAGGGAGAGAGAGGAAGAGAGAGAGAGAAACATCAACATGAAAGGTACACATCGAGTGGCTGCCACCCACACGACCCAACCAGGGCCGGGGACAAATTACAACTGAGATACGTGCCCTTAGCGGAAACCGAACCCGGGTCTCTCTGAACCACAGGCCAACGCTCTAACCACTGAGCCAAACCGGCCAGGGCCACTTATAATTTTATTTTAATTCTCACCAGAGGGTATTTTTCTATTGCTTTCTAGATAAAGTGGAAAGGGGGGGGGGGGGGGGAGAAAGAGAGAGAGGGAAACATTGATGTGAGAGAGACACATCGATTGGTTGCCTCCTGCACAACCCCGGGGCCAGGTATCAAACCTGCAACCCAGGTACATACCCTTGACCGGGAATCAAACCCGAGACCCTTCAGTCCACAGGCTGACGCTCTAACCACTGAGCAAAACTGGCCAGGGCTATTTTTCCATTTTTAGATAGAATGGGGGGGGGGATAAATATCGATGTGGGAGAAACACATCGATTGGTTGACTCCCAAATGACCCCGACCAGGGCTGGGATCGAACCCGCAACCCAGGTAGGTGACTTTGGGGATCGTACCCCTTTGGTCTGCGGGCCGACGCTCTACACTGAGCCAAATTGGCCAGGGCTACTGTTTTGTTTTAAGTATGTCATAATAAAAAATTTGAAAGATATGTGTTTATTTAATTCAATGCATTTCTAAGGCTTAAAATATATGGAACTCAGATCCCTACCTAGAAACAGGAGGGAATAGCCATCGCAGGATCGACTGCTCTTCTGTCTTAAGAGGGCGTCTCTGGGCAGGCTCCTTAAGCTCTGCACTTAGTTCTCCAGGGGGTAAAATGTGTGGCACCTCAGAAACGTGTGGGGAAGTGGGGGTCAGTACAACTCCAGATGCTGGTCGAAAGGGCACCAACACCTGCACAGGCCGTGAGCTTGGGGGCCAGGTCGGGGATTCAGAGCTCCCCTCACACAGCACACAAGGAAGAGGAAAGACCACACGGAAAATTTACCTGTTTCCTCAGAATAAAAATACAATAAAAATAGCAGAGTAAACATGTAAATAACTTGCTAAATATGGGGAAAACCACCTCTTCCGAATGGACTGCTCTATAATATTCCCAGGGGGAGAAAGAGCACTATTGTCTACACCTCTGTATAACGGGGAAAAAGTTACTTCTCTAAAGGCAAGACTAACTTTTTTTTTTATTCTCACCTGAGGAAATTCTTCCATTTTTTGTTCAGATAGAGTGGGAGGGAGAGAGAGGAAGAGAGAGAAACATCGATGTGAAAGGGACACACCGAGTGGCTGCCACCTGCACAACCCAACCAGGGCCGGGGACAAACTGCAACCGATGTACGTGCCCTTAGCAGGAACTGAATCCAGGTCTCTCTGGACCGCAGGCTGATGCTCTAACTGCTGAGGCAAACTGGCCAGGGCAAGACTAACTTTTAAAGGATTCAGGAACTAATTTTATATTTGACTCCATTAAATCAAAAATTCCAGAATGGCACCTCCCTTTCCCTCCGAAGAGCCCAATTACCTGCAAGACAATGCAGCCCTGGATGAAGTCATCAAAGGCAATCTGTCCCCGTCCTTGTCTGTCAAACTTTCGAATGAGGATGTCATGAAACTGGTCAGACAGCCGGTAGCCTTGAAAGGGAATCAGAGTAAATAGACTGCCAGGAGAGCGGGTGCTTCCTTCTGTACCACACTCGCCCACCCACCCCCAAGAGACACGTGCCCCTTGTCACAGCTAATATACGATCTGGGCTGGGTGGGAAACACACAGTGCACATTCATTCAAATGCACTCGAAGCTACAGGAGTCACTCAGCAGTGACCACTGCGGACAGGCCAGAGCATCTTCCTGGAGGGGGAGTAGCTGGAGGCAGGACTGCACTGCAAGTTGAAGGATCCCGTGAACTCATTAGTTCATATCACATCGGAACTCTGCAGGGTGGCCCCACTACAGACCACCCCACAGGGCAGCAAGGCCGAGTTTCTTGAATGAAGTGAAGTGATAATTTTAAAAGGCCCTTTTAGCCCTGACCAGATGGCTCAGTTAGTTGGAGTGTCACCCTGTACACCAAAAGGTTGTGGGTCCAATTCCCAGTCAAGGTGAGCATGGAAGGCAACCAACTGATGTTTCCCTCTCACATCCTTGGACGAGAATACATTTATTAACCTAGACTTTTACATTTATTAACCTAGATGTGAAAGTCTGAATATTTAGCTGTCCTGGGTTAACTCATTACTAGAGAATTTGAAAGATAAAAGTATCACTGACGAATCCTAATTAAAAATGTAAACCCAAGGAAACAGATTGATAGATATTCCTCACATGGAGATTAACTAATTAGGCATTGAACGTTACAACCAGTAAGGTAGCCTCACAAAGTTCAAAACCACTACAGGTTCATCAAATGTTATGCAAAGGGTCACTGATTCCATGTTCAATTTACTGGATGTGTCTTGAAAAGATCTCCAGCAGGAAGATGGCTCTGAAGATGTGGGGACAAACAGCCCCTCGTGTGTGGGACACCCTTGGGGGCCAACTAAACAAGGACCTACTTCCTTCCCCTTCCTCCCCTCTTAATCCCACTACCTGTGTGACCATGGTATCCTTACTTATTCAGGAGACAAGATCCAGGTGCCAAAATATTTTTACTGATTTTCAGTCTTGCTGCAGTCTTTGCAAGGAAATGTACACCCACTGTCTGAGTGAATTTCACAGTTAATTACCTATATGAACATTTAGCACTTTACTGAAAAAGATTCAAACATGCAAACATGTGATGGTACCTTCCTGAGTGGCCAGCGTGCTTTGCACGTCTATGACTTAAATTCAGGGTCCCCTTCCCTGCAAGCTGAGTATAAGGCAGGATGCCCAACTTAGTCAGAGACAGCAGGTTCTGGATGGTTGCCACTCCTCCTGGCCCATATGATTCTCATCTCCTCACATCAGCACCTGTGCCTGTGGTCAGGTAAGGCAGAAGCCCAGGCTGATGTGGGCTGAGCTTGGGACACAGTGACAAGGCTGTGCCCATTCAGGGTCAATGGCCTCTTGCACAGACTGGGAAAGGACAAACAAGATAGCAACAACACAGTAACTCCACAATCTACAGACAATGGAAGCAAGTTGTATTGCCCATGGCATTAACTTCCAATGTCCCTGGTCCTCAATACTACCACAGGGAAAATAAAAGTAAAGGAAGTCAGACTAGAAAAATAAATGACAGACAAACCATGGAAAAAAGAATATTTATCTAAGAGGCCAAAATCTTGGAGCAGTCAGTTCTCTATGAGGTCCTTCCAGTGAAAATCCATGTAACGATAATTAAACGAAAGTGCCCTTTGCTTGTGGCCCCCACAGCCTGGGGCCCTATTCAGGACTGGCTGCCCTTCAGACCTGGCATGCTGGCCGCAGGGCTACACCCGGATCTGCTGCTGAGTACCTTTCTGCTTCAGCATAAAATGGGGACAAAAAAAATGCAGCAAAAAGATAGAAAACATCTGAAAATGAGTGATAAGTAAATGGAGGTTCATTACACATTTACAAAGTTTTCATAATAAACACCACCCTGGCGTAGTGGTCAGCAGGGCCAGGATGGAGGAAAGGGGAATGGGGTGTGGAGCTGCCCCGAGCCTGCCTGTCAGACGTGAGCTGTGCCTCATGCACCTTCTCATTTCCAGGTCTCTGTACATGGCGTATAGCACATATTAATAAAAAATTTAAATGACTGCACTATCAAATCCAGAATGTGTACCAGTCAGTCACACGGTGCTGTCAGGGTTGGCCTGAGACACCGTCATGGAAGTGACAAAGGTCAGAGGGCACCTTAGTGCTCAATTCTCTGGGCTCCCTCATGCATCTGCTGAGCTAAAATTTATCCCCCTGCTTACCCGAGGCAAAATACTTGTTCTTAGGGGTCAAAACTGAATGGAACTTTTTGCTTCTGTGGCACATTTCCTAACAGTTACTACAGAAAATCTTCCAACATAATCAATATGAGAAAAGGATGCCAAGGTTCCTTTCACAGAAAACAAGGCTTCGGAAAAGCCCTGGAAAAATCAAAAAACAATCACAGGAAGAATAATGAAAGAAATGCTACAAAAGAGTATTTACTTTCTCCAGAAAAAACTCAGAAGTCAGGAAGGATCTCAGCACTGACTGTGTGACAGGCCTGCCAGCTTCTGAGCTTCAGGAACACAGCGGTCACAGCACTAAGTGAAAAGAAGGCTTTGGGCCTGATAAGGTTAGAAAATGCCATGTTCCATGACCTGTGGTATACCTGAGGTCACTTGACTGGAAATCATTCATAGGACCTGGGCTCCTCCCAAGTTCTCCCCAGCCTGGGCAGACCGCTGGCTCCTTCCCTCCCAGACTTCCCTCGGGCCTCCGCGAGTGCCCCCACCACAGGGCAGAGCAAGGTCAGCTGCATTCCGAGTTCCAACTCCAAGAACCTGAGGTCTCCATCCTACCCAAACTCTGAGCACATCTGGTGAGCTCCAAACAGACTTCCTGATATTATGTTTGAGTTCATAAAGCAAGAAAAGAAAGCAATGGTACAAGAAAAGAGCCATAAAATACATGAACAGAGAAAAATGGAGAGGGCAGGACCATGCTAACCACCACAGGAATCAAACTTTTCTTATTTTTTTCTAGAAGGCATTTATACCAGAAGGAGTTTTGTAATAGCCCAGTAAACAGAAGGCCAAGTAAAACTGTCCCAACTCAGAACCTCAGTGTAACTTCAAACCTTGAACAAGTCCCTCAACATTTCAGTTTCTCCTCTATTAAAAAAAATCCCAACTTCTTCTCAGATCCATGCATTGGTATCAGAAGGCCCACTGACTCACTCTGGAAAGGTACCTTGTATACACTCCTGACGGCACTGCACACACACACACACACTGACCCACACTTGAGAATGGGAGCTCATGCTGACTCTAATGCCCTTCCCGAGGCCTGTGATGTGCACCACAGCTTAGATAATCGGCTCTTATGGGTATTTTATCACCTTTCTGTGTATTTTGATATATCATAAAATATAAGCTGCCCTACATTACTTATTTTCACTTATTCACTTTAAATTGTTTCAAAACCACATTCTCAATGTGCTTGTGATGTCATTCCAATTCACAAAATATAAATGATTGCATAGCCCTTATCTCATTTTGGATGAAAAACTGCATTAAAAAAACTGCATAAAAGTCTCCAATACTATCAAAATATAAGTCTGTATATTGTATACAAAATTCCACATAGATTGGGTTAAAAAATCAGTACACTGCCTAGCTAATGTGGCTTAGTGGATTGAGCACTGTCCCATGGACCGAGAGGTCCTGGTTCGATTCCCAGTCAGGGCACATGCCTGGGTTGCAGGCTCCATCCCCAGTAGGGGGCGTGCAGGAGGCAACCGATGCATGTTCCTCTCTCACATCAACGTTTCTATCTCTCTCTTCCTTTCTCTCTAAAAAAAAATCAATAAAAAAAATATTTAAAACAAAACATCAGTATATTGAACAAAGTAAAAAAAGATCTTTAATGGTACCTAGGTTCCAAAATGAAACATGCTACACAATCAAGGTAAATGAATTACCAAAACCTGAGAGTGCTTGCTTGAGCTCGTTCTTGTCAATCATCCCCGAGTTGTCCCTGTCGTAGGTGCGGAAGACATTCTGCCAGTCCGTGATGTACTTCCAGACGCCTGTGAACTCGCTGAAGTTCACGCCAGCCTTGTTCTCGCGGTCAAACATTGCTGAGACAGAAAGGAGTGTGAGTGGTGCACAGTGAATGAAATCTCGATGTTAATTAGCAGGAAATGGAGCCATGGCAGTTACCTCCCCAGCATGGTGCTCAGCCAGCAAATCCCTAAGTGTTGCTAATCATGCTCAATGGCTGAGTCGGGGGGACTGTCACCCAACCTCAGCCCCCTGTGAAAAGGAAAGTGCAAGCAAAACCCACTATTAGAGTCACAATAAAAAGACTACTTCACACTGAAGTAGGCTCTACAGGAGCACGACCACTGGTGGGTGCTCTTGCTTTGCCAGGAAGATTTCAGAGCTAAGTACCCCTTACCCCCAGCTTCTAGTTCTAGGCCTAGAACAAGGAGTCCCCTACATTCCCCAGGACCCACATCCTCCAGCAGAGGCCACTCTATTGAGAAAGAGAGTCTACTGGCTTTAGTGTTTTCTTACCTGCTTTTCTTTTTTTAAAAAATCAGTCCAATTCAAGGTCCCATACAAAAGAACCTACAACTACATTTACATAAAACTACAAAATGGCTAACATAATTACTGTCATAAAGAAAATGATCAATCATTTGGTGTGTCTTCAGGTAAGGAGATTAATGGAAGCCTGTAGTATGAGTGCTCTTGGTTTGTTCAGAAGTACATTACATTCAGTGAAGTTTCACGTAATAAAAAATCAGGGGAGTCCTCCAGTCAGTGGTTACACAGGATAAGGACTGAGTGGGGAGCGTAAAGTCCAGTGTGTGCATAGAATCTTCAGGCTTAGCAACTGCAAGGGCCAGGTAGGTATAAACTGACAGTGAAGAATCAGAGAGGGGACAGAAGGGCGGGATGATGGCCCACGTCATACTGAAGCTCTGGGAGAATAGGGCAAGAAGCACGTACTGCACCAAGCAGCCCACACCTGTCTGCCTGCACAGGCAGGACCCCAGCGCCCTTACTTACATATGATTGACCTGACAGTCACGGGATTAAATGGAGTCCAGGTGCCTGAAAACAAACAGGAACTAAAGTAAGAGAGTGATTTGTACCTTTATTGATTTTTACACTTGGTAAAAACAATGTTAAAAAAAAATGTTTTTAATGTGGAGAAAAAGCAATATCTCTGCCCATCCCCCACTTGTATTTTTTTAAAAGCCCATTTTTTCCCTTTTATGTACACAACTGTTTCAGTTCTGGGTAGCACACAGAGATCCACTCCTGACCTCTGAGCTGTGGTGGGCTGGAGAGTCTGCAGGGACTCTTACTCAGGGACACTGGGCCCTAGAGCACCTCCAAAGTGCCACTCCCACCCAACTCGGGCTTGTCCAGATTTCTCTCACCCTCACATGTGCCCCTCTAACACACGCACACTCTCCACCCAACTCCTACCTCCCCTCCCTTTAAGCCTCAGGTGAAATGCTTCCTCAGGGAGCATTTCCCGAGTGCCCCACACTCCAGGTCCATAAGTCAAATCCATCTGCTCTGCCCGTACCTTCTGACTGCCCCTTCAGAACACCTGCAATGGTCATTATTCCAGGAAGGCTGGTCCTCCCAAAAAAGCTAGGACCCAGGCCTAGCACACATCATATCTGGACAGCACCTTTGTGCAGGTTTCACAGGCCTTTGGTGGGAAGGTGGGCAGGAGTACGTATAGAAAGGTATGAGGAAAAATCAGTATTATTGGAAACCAGTATAAAAAGAAAACTATGTTGCAGAAAACTCCCACATACAGGGGACTATCGCTGCTTCACCCATGCCTGCTCTCCCCTCCCTTCCTCTTAGTGGCTCCATGCACTGAACTGGATTTCACAGGAGATAACCCACAACTGACCAGAAGCCAGAAACCACAGGCACCCACTGGAACCTCTTCCTTCCTTCGTGTTCCTTCCATCTGATACAGATTAGTGACCACAGGAGAAGAGTCCTGAGTGTGGGCTCAACTGAGCTGACTATGCAGAGCTGGAGCAGTTTCAGACATGATGCTGCACCCACAGTCCAACAACGCAACTGCGCATATCAACCCTGAGCTGTCAGCAACTGAATTGGCGAAACAAGTTTTAAAACAAAAGCAGTACAAGTAAACACGTTAAATAAGGCTGCACATAGGCATTCTCATGGTGAGGGCCAAGGGCCTCGACAGGCACACGTCATCGAGTGCATAGACGGTGCACCTCAGACAGGCAGGCTAGGGGACCCAACTGTGTTGGGGGAGTCTGAGTCAATGATGGAGAGACCTGAAAGGTGGAGAAAGGCTATGGACATCCACTAGTCCTTCTTGTTACCCATATGGGACCTGACTCTGCACAGAAACCGGGGGCAATAACAGCCAACAGGTAATTGACTCTGTTATGTGCTAGTCCTGTGGCCTGGTTCCCAGGCCTAACATCAAAGCTTACCAACCCACAACAAAGCCAAATGTTGTGGCTGAAACATGCAGACATTTCACATTTTGGTTATATTAAGTGTTAAATGCACCTGAATGTCAGCCTGAACACCTAAATAGTTTATAAAAGTTTTCTGTAAGAAATCACACTGCAGTGCCAATATGGCATTTTCAACAGCACTTGCTGAAGGCAGAGGACACATCCTACAGGTAGGTTTTTTTCACAAGCCTTTCACCCCCCAGCGAGCCTCTGTCCCAGGCTTCCTGGGCCACCTGCAACTTCAAACATTCCCATCAACTCTTCCCAGTAACCATGAGTCCAGAAACATCAGAAGCAAAAGATTTCCTGTCAGACTTTTACATAGAAATATATGTTCACTGTACATATAAGTCTCAAGTTCACCTTAAAGAACCAAAGAAAACAGAAGCATACTATTATTTCCCCTGTAAGTTGAATACTCAACTTTTCACCCATAATTTAGGAACAGTGCTAAAACCTGAAGGAGCTGCCCGAATGGTGTGCTTGCGGAAGAAGCTGCCACTGCAGGGTGATCAGTCACCACCGGGGGCTTCAGCATTTTCCCACTTAAATCCAAGGGCACAAATGATTTTAGGAATTTTTACTCACCCCCCCATCTCAACAAGGGAAATCCCACTCTGCTCTGCGATAATATATTCTGTCTTTTTACTCTCCAAAGAGTTTTCTTTCTTGAAATTGATGAAGACTTTGGTGATGGTGAAGGGTTAAGTCTTCACAACATCTTGCATAGGTACACCTGAAACACCTAAGTACCTGGAATCTTTGGGGAGGGAAGAACAGACTTTCCCCACCATCACTGGTGGTCTCTGTGTGCTCCCCTGCAGCAGACCCAGAACCCAGCCTTCCTGGCTTTTCTGCTGGAGCAGCTTGTGAGGAGGGGGTGGAAGTGCCGCAAGGCCTGGGCACTGTTCAACACATGGGTTCAGCAAAGTCCCACATTTCACCAGTCATTAGTTACGGCTTTAAACAGCCACGAATATGGAAATATGGCCTTTCTGAAAAACCATCTGAATACTGACCTAACACAGTGCCTATACCCTTTGGTCTGATAAATGCCCCTTCTAGAAACTGGTTCTATGAAAATTTGGGTCTAATCACTGCAGGATTTACATTAATGAAAATTAAAACAATCAAAGTGTCTAAGGTGAACACTGTAAACTCCATTCTGGAAGATCCAACACTGTCTTGCAGTAATGGACTAGGCAGGCTGGGTTCTGGTGGAGATGGGGTTGGCTGGAGGGAAAAGGGATCTCAACTTCCAGATGTCCTGTTTTTTACACCCAAAGACAGAGACCAGGAATGCTGGAACCTGCCCAGGCTCATGCAGTTCCCTGGCAGCAAAGCCAGGTCACCCCGTTCCAACCTTCCTTGTTTCTATCTGAAACTCTGGTGCGCAAGTTTCTAAGAAGAACAGATGTGACGGTGTAATAAGGGTCCCCAGAACTCTCTCAGGCTTAATAGCTAGCCAGGTCGACAACACTCACGGTCAGTTTGTTACAGTGAAAGGACAGAGAGTAAAACCAGCAGAGGGAAAGGCATTGGAACAAGTCTGGGGGAGACCAGGCACTGCTTCCAGAGCCCCACGCGGAGTCACACCGGACAAGCTTAATTCTCTAGCGACAGGATGATGACACACACAAAGTACTGTCCACCAGGGAAGCTCCCCTGAGCCTGGGAGTCCCGGGTTTCTCGTGGGGATCAGTTACAGAAGTTCCAGATGCCCAGAGGGAAGACATGGCCATCACCAAACTCTCAGTGTGAATAAAGTTCCAGATGCCCAGAGGGAAGATATGGCCATTACCAAACTCTCAGTGTGAATTATCCAGGCAAACGGGTGCACTGTGCTCAAGGCCCTCAATGGGCAAAGCACTCTTATCAGTCAGAACATTCCAGAGGCAGCCCGTCATCCAATGTCATCCAACCGGCCCTTCTTGGAAACGTGTAGGCTGAGTAACCCAGCCTGCTGAGTCAGCCCTCACCTGCATACAGGCAGATGGGGGCTGTAGGCGAATTTCACTCCCATGACACTGGGTTAGGGGCAGGACAGGGATGCAAGTACAGGGACTGTCTGCTTGGCTGGGCTCATTTCTCTCATTTCTTCAAATATGGGATCCAAAAAAAGCTAAAATTCTATTTTGATAAAAATACTTTAAAAAATATATGAATTATTATTTTTTTAAAGCATAGCTAAAAATGCCTCCTTAAAATGTATCAATATCTTATGTTAAGGCAAACCTGAAAGCACAAAAAAGAGGCTTAAGGAAATTTTTTTAAAAAGTACCTAAAAGTCAAGATAGTTTGTGACAGGTTATTTTAAAATGAAGGCACAAAAACAATCCTCTCTCTCTTCAGACCCACTGACCACACACAACCTGACAGCAGTCATGTCTGGAGGCTTTCCTACAAAGGACTCAGTGTGTGGGTCCTACAAAAGCCCTTTTTCAAGATGGTTTCAGCTCAACCTGAACAGAGAGCACTCCAAACCACAGGTCTAACTAAAGTGAGAGACTATGTTGTTCTGTAACTTCAGTTTCCACCAGCAATAAACTAATAAAAATGTCCTGAAATAGCCCAATAGTCTAGTTCTAATATGAAAACCAAAGCCCATTCCTGGGAGAAAAATCAGAACTGAAAATAACTTCAATCATACCAGCTATAGGAATTGGAGGAGTGAAGAGAACCAATGTTGTCTATCCAGTAACCAGCTTGGCACTCACTTAGAAGGGGACAGCTACAAAAATGGTTACAGGAAAAAGAAGAGAAAGTAACACATCAAAGAAAAGAAGTGCTGTTCAAAGGGAGGGGCAGGACACACCAATGTGGGAGGATAGAGGTTTGGAGACATGGCAGGATGGGTGGAGTACACCCCACAGCAAGGAGAGGCAGGCACTCTAGGCAGAAGGAGCAGACTCCAGGCCGGGGTGGACGCCACAGGGCACTAGAAGCATTAGGTGGCTTCACCAACATGAAGAGACAGGTGGGAAAGCACCAGGGTCAGCAAGGGCCTGACTGAGGAGTAAACCCAACCTGGAACATGAGTAGCGGCCCTGCTGTGCATTGGCAGCACACTTCAGGATTCAAATCCTGGCTCTGCAATGTGAGAGTTACTAGGGGGCAAGCAAGTGGTGGTAGTACTGTTATCTACTCTGTGTCATTGTGAAAAGGACTAAAAATCTGTACCCGTTAATAACCTGCCCTGCTGCAGAAAAAACTTAAAGTTTATGAAGCCCCGGCTGGGTAGCTCAGCTGGTTAGAGTGTCATCCCAATTCACCAAGGTTGAGGGTTCCATCTCTGGTCAGGGCACATATAAGAGGCAACCAATGAATGCACAGATGAGTAAAACACCACATTGATCTTTCTTTCTTTTTCTCTCCCCTTACCCTCCCAACCCTCTAAAAAATAAAATTAATCAATTAATTAATTAATTAAATGTAAAAAGTTTATGAAGACAGTCACGAAAGTAAAATTTAATTATGTTGGACAGGAGGAGAAAAGTAGGAGGATAAGAAAGTGAAGAGTCTGAGGCTGTATCTGTGAAGTTTGCCTCTTAAAACTCTAAACTCTTGTTACTGGTGAACCACAAATTTAACTTTACATTTTTAGCAGCTAATTTGAAGAGGAAAACATAATTGGTTAAAAGATTCAGTGTTCATAAGATACAAATAAGACAGCCCAACCCCCCAGTGGCTTAGTACACAAGAAACACCATACTCCCAGGGAGAGGTGAAACAGCCATTTCTCTGGGACTGCCCCAGAGGGCACTTCTCTCAGGGTTAAGGGACTGCTTCACTGGGCCAGTTCTTACATGCCCCCAACAAAAACTGGGGGCACCCCACGGGGCAATTCAAGAAAAGTGACTCCAGAAGGGCCACTAGAGATGCTCCCAATACATACTTGTTAGTTGGTTTAAACCAGGTATTGATTTCAAAGTTATCTTAGGAATGGGGGAATGATCACACTTGCAACAATCCTTTAAAATTCTCTCTGCCAAGCAGGCTCCTGGTTCAGATTCAGTAGCAACGGAGTTCAAGACTATGTTCTGACAGAACAAAGAGTCATCTGTTCCAATAACCAGCAAAATCAGGGGGCAGTGCTGACACCTCCAGTGAAGAGACAGGAGCCTAACCCACAAGTCAGAACAGAGGATCCCCCACTCACAGCTGTGGGGCTCAAACAATAATGCTGACTGTGGGACAAGGTTTGTTAAGTGCCCAGCACAGTGCCCACGTGTAGTGGATGCTCAGTATGTGGTAACCATCATCACCACTGTCATTAGAAAAAGAAAAGCCATCAAAGGCTCGAGCTGGCTCTTTGGCCAGTAACGGTGGCAGTAACACCACTATTCCTCATCCCAGCAACAGTACCGACCCCTTGCTTTGTGCCAGGCATCACACCAGTGCTCTGCATGCACCTCCTCTATTTACCAGCCCAGCAACTGTGGGGCACAGATCCAGAAAGGCCAAGTCCTTGCTCAAGGCCACATTCCTAGAACTGGTAGAGCCGGGATTTGAATCCAGGCAGGCTGACCCCACTGAGCCCCCTCCCCTGGGTAGACAGATTTAGAGTATTTGACCATCACTCCCAACTGAACATGTTTCACACAAACCCTAAATCTGGGCAGCACTTTCAAAACTTACAGCAAATGAACAAAAGGAGATGTCCGAATAAATGTTGAATCAGTCTTCACTCACTGGAAAAGAGCTCAAAAGAAAAGCCTTACCCTACAGGGCACTCTCATTGTCATGGCCAATATCTTTAACCTCTGGCCACAATTAACATATGATGTGAAGAAATCACCCACTCTGGTCAACACTTAGAAAGTTTTAACCCAGGATCTGCGTTTGTAGCCTGCTGGATTCCAGGGCTCTGGATATCTTTCTAGTAATCCTGTCTTCTGTGTGCCCTAGTGTAACTCTAATAGTAGTTCACAGATTGATCAAGTTGAAACCAGCAATAACTCAACTCTGTGGAGAGCCCGAAACACACCACCCACAAAAGCTGTAACCCTCATGCCTGTCTGAATGCCTATAATTCTGCCACGGACAAGACCACCTCCCCACAATTTGGTGGCCCCTGGGGCCTTCTGTGATCCTCTTCAGAACGGTCACAAAGATTACCTAAGAAATACAATGATCTTCAAGATACCTGAAGGATGGCTGCTGTACAAAGCTAAACTTCCTATCCCTCCCTAAAACCTATGCCCCCAACCTGCACTTCTCAAACAGCATTTCCCTATGCTCACCCACAGTTGTTCCTCAAGGCACTCGGAGTGGCAGTGACAACCAGGAAACCACTTGGCAAAATAAATAAGAAGCACTGCCACCACAGCCCTGGCCAGTGTTGTTGTTCAGTGGTTAGAGCATTGGCCTGCACACCAAAAGGTCATGAATTTGATTCTTGGTCAAGGGAACGTACTTGGGTTGCAGATTTGGCCCCAGCCCTGGTGGTTGGGCAACCAATCCATGTATCTCTCTCTCTCTCTCTCTGTCCCACCCTGGCTCCTTCCCTTCCACTCTCTCTAAATATCAATGGAAAAACTTCCTTGGGTGAGGATTAACAAAAATAACAATAATAATAATCAGGTCTACAGGTGGGTCAGGTTTGCAGTTTAGAGGTCCTGACGGCCAGGCCCCACTCACCATTGGACAGTGCTTGCTGAAGCTCGTTGTCGGATATCACGCCGCTCCTGTCTTTATCAACCCTACAAAATCAAGACCAGTGCAACTGGTGATTAAGAGTGCACGAAAAGCAAACCATGGCAAGCACAAACGTTTAACCCCACTGACCATCCTAGATTAATTCTGGTATGTTCCTTCTCTCGGGCCTTTCACTTTGTTCTGATGGGGAATACGGAGACACTGGCACTCCTGCCCTCATCCTAAGCACTCCACCTGCCAAAGTCCAAGCTGGTTCTCCTCGAAGAGACCAAGTCCTTTTTTTCACTCTCGTTTCCCTTTCCTAGGACTTTCTCTTTAATTACCCCTTGGCCTGAGTTCCATCTGCACCAGTTTCTCTCTTGTTCACAAACAGGAAAAGGTTGTATCCATCAAGTCATTCCCTGACCATGAGTCACTCGAGTTTCCGTCATTTATTCACGGACGGAGGAGCTCAGGTAAAGATCACCTGTCCCGGCAGCCATCACGCCCGGCTTCTTTCCTGGCTGCTGGCATTTTAACAGCGCTGGAGCAGAGTCTCGTTTCCGTTTATCTAACACGAGCATTGCCGGGAGACTCCAGGGGCAAGACCCCGCTCCTCAACTGCGGGCGATCTGCTGTCAGGGAGAGCGGGGTGGAGGCAGAGCTACAGGGTGCCTTCGGAAAGCGCCACACTTCAGGAGGGGCCCGTTGCGAGGGAGAGGCCCGGAGACGCAGGGGACAGGGCAGGGGACAGGAGAGTGAGCAGGGCGGAGGCCTCGGGAAAGGAAGGAGTAGGATGGGACGGGGGCAGGCGGCCAGGGAAAGGCTGGGGGAGGCGGAGCGGAGATCGGGGGGAGACCGGGGAGAGACCGAGGGCAGGCCGGAGTGCAGGCTGGGGAGAGGCGAAGGGAAAAACTGGAGCAGAGGCTGTGAAGAGGCCGGGGGAATGGGGCAGGAGGCCGGGGGAAGAAGCGAAGGCCGGCGGACTCCCGTTAGCGCCCGCGCGCCGGACCTCACCTCTGGAAGACGTTCCACAGGAAGCTCTGGTCCGGCAGCGCCGCGCCCACGGCGGGGCCGGGGCCGGGGCCGGCCGCAGGGCCCGGGCGGTAGGGGTAGGCAGCCATGGGCCCAGGGTGCGGCTAGACTGGAGTCGGAGGCGACACGAGACGCCTCCGGGCAGCTGCACTTCCGCCTCTGCCGGGGGCGTAGCCCGTAGCTTACGTCACTTCTGGGGGCAACGGGAAGTGCGAGTCTCCGGGACGGTCACGGGGCCTGGTGCTGCCAATCCCTTCGCGGCCCGTTGCCAGGCGACGCCCGAGTCCTGCCGCTCCAGTGCGGTCGGCGGCCTCCAAGTTCGGGCACCTTTGCGTCAGCGCCCCAGAGCGCATCTGAGGGGCGGAAGGGGTTCCACTCCGGCACCTTTAATTCTTGCACCCAAAGAAAGTCGTGAAAGCGAATGAGATCGAGGGGAGAGCGTCCTCACTTCGGGTCACCGGCGCGCCTTTGCCGGGCCTCCGCAGCGCTCTCCGTGCCTGCGTACCCGGGAATCCTCCCGCGCCCGGCCGTCTGTCCCTGTGTCCCGGGAACAGACACCGCCCTCATCTGGACGGCGGTGCGATTCCGAGCGTTTTCAGCGAGCTCGCCGCTTAAGGGCACTCGCGTCCCCCTCCTGTCCGCCAGCCTCGCCCCTCTGGCGGAGGTCCCGGCGCTGCATTAGTTACTGTGCGTTCAGAGACTTCCAGCTTCGCAAGTGTTTACATTTCTGATTCAGTGATCACTGACTTGTTTCATTCTCAGAGCTGGGAAGCATTTCTTACCAGAACGTGAAGGATCGGGAGCCATGACCTTTTATCGGGGCACCTGAGACTTTGCTCCCTGTGGACACGAATCCATTATTCAGCGCTCTGGGCACAGCTCAGGATCTCATTCTCCAACGGTTACCCGCTGTCCCACTTAGCACGAGGCTACACGCTGGAGAGTTTTTTCAAATTCTACAAATACATTAAGATGTTCTGTGACTTTGGCATTCACCTAAGGTATTAATCCTCAAACCTCTTCAACAATGTGGATTTTTCCTCCTGGCGCATTAAGTGGTTTCCAGTTTTCTCCTATAAAATATTCACATCATTTGTTGAATAGTCCTTTCCAGATTTTCTACAGCTCTTTAATCTGTAGTTTCTGAAATTCTCCTTTATTCTATCTCCCATCTCTAGCTCCTTTTTTATTCTCTAGAACTCTACAAAACCAATAACTATGATTTTCCAACCCAATTGGTAAGTTTTCTGGTACAGTCTGTATAGGGAAACTTTAGTAAGAAATGTCTAGGTGGCTGCAGAGGACTCCTGCCTCCCTTCTCTCCAGTGTCACTGGCTCCACCAACCAACCCACCGCCAAGTCTCCAGCCTGGATTGGCACAGTCAACACCATCTGTGGGGCCTAGAAGGGCCCCATTCTATTTTGTTTAGTTCTGGAGGTGGGAAATGATTCATTCAAGATAAGAATCACTTATTGGACACTTATAATGAGCTAGAATCTACCTTCGTGTTCAAGTGTTACTTGATGTAATCCTCCTACCAGCACCGGGTAGCGAAGTACCAAATCCACATTGTGCTGATGAGCAAAACATGGCTGCCCTGAGGTCACAAGGGCCGTTGAGTCTGCTCTTCCTACATTTCCTTAGTGGTTGCAAGGCTGACTTACAAGGGAGATTAGTTACTAGGAAATAATGGTTTATAGAGAAATCACCCCTGCCCCATGTCTACTCACCAGACTGACCTGTCCACTCGCAAACTAGGCAGCCTCAGTCCCTTCCTTCAATGCAGTCCTGACCTCTAAGGAACCTCTGGCTCTGAGAGGCTAAGTCTGAGCACTCACGTGGGTCACACAACCTGTGCTGCACTGCTTGGGCACAACCAGGAACCATTGCCATTGATGGGGGGCATTGCCGGGGGTCCTGTCACCACATTACAAAGATGAACAGCAACAATGGATACCACCTTCTGCCAATAGAAGAACCATATCATCTGCCACTGGTCCTGCTGACTCAATCATTTAAAGTATTGATGTGCTTGCCACTATCTCCTTGCCTATCTTGGGATTCAGTTCCCTCCTAACCAGGTCTGTTCTAAGCTTTCCATTGAGATGGTGCTCCTGGGTGGAGGAGGAAATAAACTGAAAGAGGACACTGCTTTCTTCCCTACATTAACATTATCACACAATGTATCAAATCTCAGGCCAGTCTTTCCTTTTGGTCTAATTTCTCTGAGCTAATTGGGAAATGACTCTTTTATTATCCTTAGAATTTTTCTTTGGTTCTATCTGGATTCTGGAATTCCTAACTTACCAGAGTCCACCCTCTTGTTCATTCTGTCTTTGGCATACAGTAAGTTCTTTACAAATGTTAAACAAATGAATGTCAGAATTTTGTGTGTCTCCTACCTGAACAGATCATCTGTCTTTTCTCATCAGCTGCACTGTGACATTTGCACAATGGATAACTTTTTTCAGGCTCTTTCCCACTTACAGCCTCTGGTGTAGAATTCTAGGGGACAGAACCCACCACACCCAACCTCCCCCTTCCTTCCCAACCAATATTGTCAGAATTCAGTATGAAAGGAATGCCTTACCACTTGTTAAGCTTCTCAGTAGTGGTCAATTTATCAAATATATGTTGTTTTCTTAGTAGCAAATGTCTACATTAGCAGTGGCCGACAACTTTCTGCAATGAAGGGATTGTTTTGTATATGCTGTCCAATCTGATAGCTACTTGGCACATATGGCTACTGAGCACTTGAAATGGATCAAGGTGTGTTGGGAACAGAACTTTAAATTTTATTTTCATTTTAATGAACTTAAATGTAAATAGCCATGTAGCCTATTGCTAACCTAACAGGGCTATTGCTATGGACAGTGCAAGTCTGAATATTTTACTATATGCCTTACCTTTTTGCTTCTTTTAAGCCATATTAGGAATTGTCCACATCATCTATTTGAGCAGTATTCTTTTTTTCTTGACTCATTTTTAACTTCTCTAGTTCATCAATTCCCCTAGCACAGGTGGGTTCATTTAGAAACTGAACACATTTTACAAACATTTCCAGTGTGAAATATTGTCCCATGGCTCCTTAACTAGTGGAGTCCCATAGAAACTTACATTTCCAGACTACCTACTTGCCGGTGGGTTTCTAGGTCTCAGAATACTCATGAAAGTAGTTTGAAGTGGGAGACAGACATAAGGAAACCACCTGTTATTTCTTTGAAACCTAATTGGACCTTGTTATTATCCTATCCTGCTTCAGTGGTTATCAGTGCTAGCTTTTTTTTTTTTTTCCAAATCTTTATTGTTGGATGTAAAATGTATTACAGATGTTCCACATTTTTCCCTCATTGACCCCCTCCTCCCCACTCCCGCCCCCCTCCCGCCCCCCTCCCACCTTTTCCCACACTATTGTCTGTGTCCATTGGTTATGCATATAAGTTCTTTGGTTTATTTCTTCCCACCTCCCCAACCCCTTTCCCTTTGAGGTTTGTCAGTCTAGCAATGAATTTGTGCTTCTTAATCCCTTCACCTTTTTCACCCATTCCCCCAACCCCCTTCCCAACTGGCAACCAACAAAATGTTCTCTGTATCTATGAGAATGTTTCTGTTCTACCTGTTCATTTTGTTTGTAGATTCCATTGTTGAGAGATATGTATTCATTGCCATTTTGTTTGTTCATACATTTTATCTTTTTCTTCAAAAAAACCCTTCATCATTTCATATAATAACGGTTTGGTGGTGATGAACTCCTTTAACTTTTTCTTGTCTGGGAAAGTCCTTATATGGCTATCGATTCTAAATGACAGCTTTGCAGGATAGAGTAATTTTGGTTGTAGGTTCTTGGTTTTCATCACTCTGAATATTTCTTGCCACTCCCTTCTGGCCTGCAAAGTTTCTTTTGAGAAACCAGCTGACAGCCTAATGGGAACTCCCTTGTAGGTAACTAGCTGCCTTTCTCTTGCTGCTTTTAAGATTCTCTCTTTGTCTTGAACCTTTTGCATTTTGATGAGGATGTGTCTTGGTGTGGGCCTCTTGGGGTTCATCTTGTTTGGGACTCTCTGTGCTTCCTGGACTTGTATGTCTGTTTCCTTCACCAAGTTAGGAAAGTTTTCTGCCATTATTGTTTTAAACAGGTTTTCGATTTCTTGTTCTCTCTCTTCTCCTTCTGGCACCCCCAAGATGCGAATGTTGGCACGCTTGAAGTTGTCCCAGAGGCTCCTTACACTATCCTCATTTTTTTGGATTCTTTTTTCTTTTTGCTGTTCTGATTGGGGATTTTTTGCTTCCTTATATTCCAAATCGATGGTTTGCTCCTTGGATTTACATACTCTATTATTGAAGCTGTGTAAATTATTCTTTATTTCAGTTAATGCTTCCTTCAATTCTAACTGTGTATCTATGATTTCTAACTGGTCCTTTTTTATGCTCTTGAGGCCCTCCCTAAGTTCACTGAGGTTCTCACTAAGTTCATTGAGCATCCTTATAAGCAGTATTTTGAACTCAGTATCTGTTAGGTTGCTTATCTCCCTTTCACTTACTTCTTTTATTGGGGTTTTGTTCTGTTCTTTCATTTGGGACCTGTTTCTTTGTCTCCTCATTTTGGCTGCCTCCCTGTTGTTTGTTTCTGTGTATTACTTAATGAGAGGTATGGGGCTCGCTGAGACCCGATGTTGCTCGTTTGAAAGAATTTAGGAAAAACCTGAAGCAGGATCCAAGACCGGCCAATCCTATGGTTAAGCAAGTGGCAACAGCTTGGGTGGGCTTGAAAGTTGGGCGGGGTGGGGCGGGTCCTCAGGGAGTCACCAGGGCGGGGCTACCAGTGTGAGCCAGGTTGCTGGAGTCCCAGATATGGCTTCTGTCTGCCGCCCCGGGGAAGGGCTCACCAAAGGAACAAAGGCCTCTGACAGCACGTTTGTCCCCGAGGAAGCCCCCTCTCCAGCCCTCGCTCCAGTGCCAAACAGCTCAGTTCTTCCCTGTATGTCTCTGGTGCCCCTCGAGCTGCCTCCCCTCCAAGCTTAGAGGGAGAGAGTTCGACAAGTCCGTGCGCGGGCCCTTTAAGGAGCTGCCTGGGGCTCCAGCCGCCTCAGCCTCCCTGAGCCTCAGTTCCCGCTGGTTTTTCCAGCCAGAAGTTATGGGGACTTCTCTTCCTGGCACTGGAACCCTGAGCAGGGCACCTGGCATGGGATGGGGACCCTCAGTCCTCAGGAAGGACCTTCCCAGCCGCGGGAGCCTCCTGATTTTTATCCGCCACACGTGGGTGTGGGACCAGCCTGTCTTGCCGCCGCCGCCACCCCTCGCGCCGCCCCTCCTACCAGTCTGGATGTAGCTGCTTTTTTTAATCCCGTAGTTGTAGGACTTCCATTCAGCTTGATTTCAGGCGGTTTTGAATGATGGTTGTTCTGTAGTTTGATTGTAACTTTGATGTGGTTGTGGGAGGACGCGATACCGCGTTTACCTACGCCACCATCTTGACCGGAAGTCTAGTGCTAGCTTTTAATTAATTGTCCTAACATTTAAATGTTGCTCGAAAGCCTGTATTAACCCTTTTACTTAGTTTACAAAATGCTCTGGCATATACTTTCTCATTGTATCAACTGGTTAGGATGTATCTTGCTAAGGTGGTCAGTTGTCTTTCTACCTGTTTTCAATGACCTCCTTCATGTTTGTTGGACCACATCATTCCATGCAGGTGGTTTTCAAAGTGTGGTCCTTAGAGTCTCCTTTCCCAGGCAGCTGCTGAAGATGGCGGTGGGGCAGGTTTGGGCTCCACGCGGGCCGGGGTGGTGAGGGAGTTGGAGGGATTCAGGCTGGAACAGGGTTGGACTCTTTGTCCCTTCCTACGTGTGTAGGGAAACTTTAGCTTGAAAATTGAGCGAAACGAAGAGCAAAAGGGTATATGAAGTTCTGTAATGGGGAACTAGAAATATTGTCACTGCCTTTGTGCCCTGGGACAGGTAAATACGGTATTGTTCCTCCCCGAGGGGTGACGATGCAAACTTCTGTCCCAGAAAGAGCCATTTTTGTTGTTGTTGTTCACATAGAGTGGGAGGGAGAGAGAGGAAGAGAGAGAGAGAGAGAGAGAAAAACATCGATGCGAAAGGTACACATTGAGTGGCTGCCACCCACACAACCCAACCAGGGCCGGGGACAAACTGCAACCAAGGTACATGCCCTTAGCGGGAACCGAACCCGGGTCTCTCGGGACCTCAGGCCGACGCTCTAACCGCTAAGCCAAAATGGCCAGGGCAAGAGCCATTTTTAAAACAAGATCTTGTTTACCTTAATATGGGCTGGTACTTGGCTGAATTGGACCCGTTTATGTCTAGTGATGGGGAAGCACGAGGAAGGCAGGCAGCTGAGAAGCCAAGGACTGGCCTAAACGGAGGGTCCTTTTCAGTCTTCCCAAATGGCCCTGCTTTGCCCTCGTGGGAGTGCTGATCAGGCCTCCCCTGCATCTCTGGGTGTTTGGGCACAAATCTTCTCCGTGGGTGCAAGGAGCTCTTGCCTATGGGGCTTTCGGGAACAAATTGTTTTTCCCTTTGCTCTGGGTTTGATGGATGCTTTGAAGTATTGTTGCTGCTAGAAGCAGAGGACAAGGATTCAATGCTCCACAGCCCTGGGCCATCTTTTGTCCTTAAGCAATTGGCCTTCAATGAAGGCAGCAGCAGCTTACCTCTGAATGCCCTGGCTCCTTTGTGTAACCTATTGTGTGAAGGGGGAGACACTGGAATTTGGGGGGCTCCTTATGGATTTAATGGAATGATTCTGTAGTCAAGAAAGGAAAACCAAGTTGGGAGGCATGTGGTAGAGTTCTCTGAACATGTCCCTGCATTTACTGTGTTCCTGGCCTGGTTTGCATTGTATTTTTTGTGATTGAGAGAATGATCACAATGTTTCTGAGGCAGATAAAATAATAAAAAAAATTTTTTTTAATTAAAAAAACAAAGTGTGGTCCTCAGACATGTTAGAAATGCAGGACCTACTGAATCACAAGTTCTAGGGTGGAGGTAGGAATTCCTTAACTACTCCTCAGGGTGATTCTGATGGGCACTCAAGTTTCAGAACCACTGTATTAGGGATTGCAAAGTGGTGATCTTCAAGTCCTATCATTCCGTATTTATTTATTGAAAAACTTCTGTAAAGAACTTGCCCTAATCAACTGGGTTATCCTGAATTGTAGTTTGTAGAGAAGAGGCAGGATAATTGTTTATTTTCCTTTAATTGTCCATTTTCAGTGTTAGGAGTTAGTATCCTACTTACTTCCAAAGGTGACCAATATTTTTGTTTGGTTGGTTTGAGGATGCTTTTCTTTTTCTTGACTATCATTATACATTCAGTTTTAATATATTCAGTGTTTCAGTCGGATGTGACCGTTGTTTGCTGGCTCCCATGCCTCTGCCATGGGTCCAGCTCTTTGATGGCTTCCTGGCTCTGAATCAGAAAACCATTTCAGGCTCATCTTGCACATTTCCTCCCCAGCCCAGTCAGCAATTCTTCAAGGAGCCCTGGTTTCCTTCAGTGGGATATAGTGTGCAGGCCACAATTCAGGTAATTGGGGTGTCCACTGCTACTGGGAAAGAGTTAGGAAATGTATATTTTTTAGAACAAAGGAAAGAATGAGTTTACACTTATATTTCTGTATCAAATTGGGCATTACAAGGTTTTCACCTCTCTGATTTTGAATGTTACCCCTTTCTTGAAAAAAATCTTAGTTTTAACATTAACATAATTATTAGCATTAACTCATACTACACATTTTTGAATGACAAATACCAACATTACTACCAATAATGAAATTACTGATTGAGATTTAGGATTTCTTAGTGGCTCTATTTGTAGTTAGACTCTAGTTTATGAAAGTTGCAGACTGCCACTTGAAATATATTCTCCTGTGTGCCTGTCACAGCTCTATTTGTAGTTGGGTTTCAGACACCTGATGCTGTCCCTTGGTACTCACCAGATCTGTGTAGCCCCCACCTAGCTTCTTGCCCCAAGAACCTGCAACTCTGCCTGGGCTTTCTCTGGTGACAGAGTGTGGCACAGAGCAGGGCCCCAGGAGTTCTGGCACCCTCGATGCAGCTCTCAAGCCACAAAACTCACCAGTTCTCACGAACTACTGGTTCAGCAGAATGGACAAATCTCAATTACCAAGAGAAGCCAGATAAAATATTATATGCTGTATGTTTCCACTTTTATAAAATGTAGAGAATGCAAACTCATCTGTAAGAATGGAGAGTAGATCAGTGGTTCCCTGTGAACTGGTGGGGAAAAAAGGGGCAGTGGGTATTTGGGAGTGGTGAATACATTTATCATCTGCCAATTATACCTCAAAAAAAGATGTTAATGCCCTGAGCCGTTTTGCTCAGTGGTTAGAGCATCAGCCCTTGGACCAAAGGGACAAGGGTTCAAGTCCGGTCAAGGGCACGTACCTGGGTTGCAAATTCAATCCCCAGCCCTGGTCCGGGTCGTGGGGAGGCAACCAATCGATGTGTTTCTCTCTCATTGATGTTTCTATCTCTCTCTCCCTCTCCCTTCTCCTCTCCCTAAAGTCAATTTTAAAAAATGTTAACAATGCTGCCCCGGCCGGTTTGGCTAAGTGGTTATAGCGTCAGCCTGTGGTCCCGAGAGACCCGGGTTCGGTTCCCGCTAAGGGCATGTAGCTCAGTTGCACCCAGCCCTGGCTGGGTCGTGAGGGTGACAGCCACTCAATGTGTCCCTTTTAGGTCAGTGTTTCTCTCTCTCTCTCTCTTCCTCTCTCTCCTTCCCACTCTATCTGAACAAGAAAACAGAAAAATGTCATCGGGAGAGGATTAAAAAAAAAAAATGTTAACAATGCTAACAACAACAAAAAAAAAAATGGAAAAGCTATACTAAGATAACACTTCTCATTATGTGAGTGGTAAACATCCAGAAGCTTGCCATTACACCTTCTTTGCAGGACTCTCATATATTGCTGGTGGGAATGCAGAATGCCACAGTCCCTAAGAAAGAGAATTTGGCAACATTTGACAAAAGGTGACCCAGCAATTCTACACCTAGGCCTCCACCTCAAAGAAAATGTCAATGAAAACAACTTCACACACAGAGTTATTCATTGTGGCATCTGTGATATTGGAAACAGCGCAAATGTTCACACTAGGGGATAAGGTCCATTCAGCAGTGGAGTACTATGAAGCCGAATAAGGAATGAGGACAACTCTACTGATGATAAGGAATAACTAACCTCAGGATATATAGTCTATATAATATAATGCAAATATCTATTTGCTTTCTTTTAAAACACTCACTAGAAAAATAAAGTGGTGCTCTGGGGGGGTGGAGAAAGGGTGGCAGGGACAATTAAGGAGGTAAGCTCTGAATACAATGGACTAAAATCATGTAAATGTTTAACATAAACTTTAAAATTTTAAAGACAATCTATAAAACTGAAAAATAGAATCTGTAATGAATGAACAGAATTGCCTTGACTGGGTTCTATGAAAGCCAACACTGAGAAAGAACTAGAGGTGCCCCTAGCAGCACCTGATAGGAAGTGGGGAAAGAAGAAATCTATATTACATCTATATCAGTTTCACTTAGTATTTGGTTATTTAAAGGATTTAGGACACATGTTCACCTATGAAACCATTTGTTTACTAAAAAACAAGGAGGAAATGTTTGTTTTCTTCATTTGCTGCCAAGCACTAAAATTCATTTTCACTTAAATATGTAACAAAATTTTGGGCTTTCAATGTACCAGAATAAAAAGATAATCACATTTAATATTTCAAGTCAATAAATATGCCTAAAGCAAGTTTGTAATTTATGTTTTATTTAAGAGTACTGCCAAGTTTTATCATTTCACAAGAATGAAGCAAGGGATAAAGGTAAGCTTAACACTTTTGAGTGATTACTGGCAAGCTGCTGGCCACTGATCTCTATTGAGATGGCACTCCTTATTCACTAGAGTACTGAATTTTAAACATACACTTAAGCTTTGAACACGTCTGTGAGCTATTATACATAATTACAAAAGCGGGTTAGCTCCGGTCTGTCTCATCAGTAGGAGCGGATGGCTGGGGGGACTGTGGCGCAGTCAGACTCGTTTAAAGTTTTGTCGATTACAGGTCTGTATTCCAGCGAAACCTTAAACAGAAGAGTCAGTGGTAAGTTGGGGCACAAAAAGGTACTAACAACACTGTCACATGCTCTTTTGAAAAATTAATTATAAAAGTAGACTTTCAGATAAATATGCAGTCACTTAAAAACAAAGGTACTCAAAACAGTTAAGGGAGGTGGGAGCAGGGAAGAGGGTGTCAAAGGGGGAAAAAGGAGAGACATCTGTAACAAAAAATAAATTTAATAAAAAAACAGTAACATGTACTCAGTGGAGTATTTTTCAACAAACTTGAAAATGATCTAAATGCACAGCAGGGGACTAGCCATGCAATTACAATAAACCCGTACAGCAGAACTAAATGACTACAAAATTCTTGATGCTTTACAAAAGTGCTCAAAAAGTAGGCAAAACCTTGTATATACTGTCATTTCTAAAGCATCATTATACTATGTATTTGCTTCCATTTTATTCTACTTGTAAGTGAATATTTATATATACATAAGGAAAAGAACATACACATACACAAAATGAAGGAAATATTTCAAAATAATAAAGAATACTTCTGTTAAGCTTATAAATGTTTTCTTTATTCTTTTTGTACTTTCTAAAACATGAACATATTATTTCTTTTATAATCATCCCAAAACACTAAATAATCTTGGCTGGTGTGGTTCAGCTGGCTAAGCGTCATCCTGTGCACCGGAAGGTCACCAGTTCGATTCCCAGTAAGGGCACATGCCCAGGTTGCAGGTTCGGTCCCCAGGTTGGGGTTTGTATGGGAGGCAGGCAACTGATAGATGTTTCTTTCTAGCATTGATGTTTGTCTTTGCCTGTCTGTCTGTATCTCTCTTCCCCTCCACTCTCTAAAATCAATAAAAACATGTTTTAAAAAATAGAAAAAAATAAAACACAAACATAGGGTTGTATCAAGAGAGGGAAGTCTGACTTCTTCCTATATAGTCAGAAAATAGCCTTCATGAAAAACTATGAAAATGACTTACCGCCCAAATTAAAGGATCAGTGTGCCCTCTCTCATATATATATATATTTAATCCTCACTTGAGGATACACTTATTGATTTTAGAGAGAGAAAAAGGGGGAGGGGAAGAGATAAACATAGTTGTGAGAAAGAAACATGGATCAGCTGTCTCCCCTGAACATGCCCTGACGGAGGATCAAACCCGAAAGCTAGGTATGTGCCCTGACCGGAATCAAATCTGTAACCTTCTGGAGAACAGGATGACACTCCAAGCGACAGAGCCACCTGGCCAGGGCGTAGGCACTCTATATTAAGTGCTGACCACAGAGCACAACTTAATCTCTACAGACCCAGATAAAGGATCAAGACTATCCTTACAAGCTATGAAAAGTTTAAGGGTAAATATTTTGTTACCTCAATTATTTTTATCTTAATGCCTGGCAAAAATACCCAATGGGTAAGACCAGAAGCCTCTATTGCAATTGCAGCTGGCTGTTCATAGGACCTGCCCACCCCACCCCCTCTCTGCTTGCTCCCTGAAAGGCCTAGACAATGAGAGAGAAGGGGAGAGGGGTGTTTTCGTATCTCACCCCTAACTCTCCAAGGGCTCTAGAATCACCATTTCAGACCCTGCGACCAGGCCTTGGGCACTCACTCCCTGCCTGGTGTCAATGCTGCTGTGGAAGGCCAACCCTTCTGAACCATTTACCCATGCTAAATTCTGTTTCCAGGCAAAAGCCTGACTGATAGCGTCTTTTTCAGTGGTGTCTCAAACCTATCAGCAGTTGATTTAGATCCATGGTGCTTCTCCCAGTTCATTAAATACATGTGTCAGTGCACACATGAGCAACCACAGTCCCCACCTACCTTCCCAGTCCTGACATCAACATAGGAAAGTGTGTGCTTCCTCCAGTGCTGCTCAAATGGCTTCTTCTGCTGCCCCTGGATGGGCTTGGAATAATCATACTCATCAATCCGCTCCTGAGGCACAGAAAACAAGTAAGTAATAAGTATATTTCAGAAAACATCAATAATTAATTCCAAATTTCTTATTACTCTAACAGAGCAACATAACCACAAAATATGGCGAACTCATTAAACTGATATATTGAGACTGGTCTGATATGAATCTCCACATCCCACTCAACGAGGTCCCACTGTCCAAAGCAGACCTTGTTCAGAGAGCCAGAAACTTCCTAGTCCATTTTCCAACCCATGTCAGCCCCTCTACAATGAAAACCACTTGTGTACATCTATCTCATCAAAAAGAACACAGAGCATGTAACACAGTGCAAATGAGTACCAGATGCAGGGGAATGGAGAAACAAGACGTGCCCTCCATCTGCCAGCTGTCAGCCTCTAGAGTTATTGGAGAGCCATTCACTCTATACCAGCCCATCCCAGAACCCTACACCTTTACTTATTCCATTTCCACTAGAGCCCAGCTCCTGACAAGGCGAGGACCCTTGAGGTTAGGCCACACAGCTGGGCAGTGGGCCTGCAGTGGCAGGGAGGGTCCAGGGTTCAGTTTATGTGCTTTTATGCACTCAAGAGTTTATCATATACTTTGTCTTTTTGTTCTGTACTCTGGGAGATTTCAACTTCTTTCAGCCTTTTTTATTTAAATGTCTTAATCTTAGCAAAGTATATTAAAATTTTCGAAATCTCTTAAAGAGAAGCTGAATGCTTTTAAGGAATAACTTGCACGTGGTATTGGATAAGCCATACAAGAGCCCTTCAAATAAAACCCGTAAGATCCAAACACCTGTTATTTCTTCAAAGTGAGACAAGTGTGGAGGGGGGCAGAGGCGAGACCTCTTACCGAGGGGAAAGCAAGCCACAGCACATTCTGCTACTTCTAAACTTGTGAGGACGGGACATGCTCTCCTGGGGCGAGGGGGTTCTATGTGCTATAAGACTGAATGAAATGAAAACTTCATTGCAGCCCCAAGAACTGCCAACTCACAGCCTGGAGAAGCTTCCTGTCCTTAAGTACACATGACGAATGTGCTTACCAATCTCTTCCTTCACACTAGTAAACAGAAAATCTAATCCAGCCCCAATCAGTGGAGAACCAATTAATAAAATTGCTTCACAGTAAATCAAGATCCTCTTTCTTAGCCAATCCCCACTCACCCTGTCTGGTGGACTAGTAAGGCTGTCAGCAACCTAAACACTGCCCTGGACCAGTCTGTGTGCCTGTCTGGGGGGGAAGTTGCTCAGGGTTTGCTGATGTTGTTTACCCTTAACTGGCATTTGCCCCAAGTATCTCTGTCCATGATTTTTTGCTCTCGTAAGTTGAGTACTATTTTCTGGCAGAATCTGACAAGTGTCCTCTGCATAAAAATCACCTCTTTTAAAAGCACTGTGGCTCCAAGCCAGGAATCCATAATTGCAGGCTCAAAACGATGATTTATTCATCATTTAAAATCACTAAAGTAGCATTTTCTGGCAACAGTACAAGCTGCAGGCTAACCCTCGCCCTAGTGAAGAACCATGCACTCTGCTTAGAGGTGCCACCGCTGGCAGCAACAGATACTGACTCAAAGCCAGAAAAGTCCTGTGGTACGAATCCAGTGAGAACACAAGTGTAAAAGTTACCAAGAGGGGAAAAAAGCATTTCTCAATTTACTTCTCTCATTATACTCAAAATGGAGTAAAATATTGAAAAATGACAGGGTCAGTTAGGGATGCCCACGGAAAGATCACATAGTGCTCACGAGTGTGTCACAAAAGCGCACCTTGTAATCTTCCCGGGCATGAGCACCACGTGACTCCTTGCGGGCCTCTGCTCCATAAATAGTCTGAAGCGCACAGAGCATCAGGTTCTGCAGCTCCAAGGTCTCCACCAGGTCTGTGTTCCAGACCATTCCTAGGAACACACAAGGCATCCATGAGAGACAGACAAGATGGGGCTAAGTCATAGATAAATGGGACATCCTGCACCCCAACTGTGTGCAGGGGCCTGGGAACTGCTCACCTCTGTCAAACGTCTTCAGCTGCTTTAGGTCTCCATAGAGCTGGCTGATTTTCTCACAGCCCTCCTGTAACACGCTGCCCACACGAAACACTGCAGCATGAGTTTGCATGGACTGTAACACAAAATATCATTGGGAATCTTTAATCCATATGAAGCCAATATCAAAAAAACTGCTAAGCCTTCAGATTTTCCTCTTGTGCAATATACTTTCTGTAAAATATTTATGTAAATTAAATAGAAAAACTAGGAAATTCAGACTGTGTTTATTACTTTGAATTTGTGAGATGCTCTCTTAGCAACTTTCAAATATGCAATACAATATTATTCACTATAGTCACCATGCTACACATTACATCCCCAGGACTTCTTTTTAACTGGAAGTTTATACCTTTTGACCCCTTTCACTCATTTTGCTCACTCCCTATCTCTGGCAACCACCAATCTGTTCTCTGTACCCATGAGCTCAATTTTGTGTGTTTTTTAATACGAGCTCTGGCTGGTTTGGCTCAGCGGTAGACCAATGAGTCATGGGTTCGATTCTGGCCAAGGGCACATACTTAGGTTGTGGTTCTTCCCTGACCCTTGTCGGGGTCATGCGGAAGGCAACCAATCGATGTGTCCCTCTCACGTGGATGTTTCTCTCTTTCTCTCCCTTTCTCTCTCTCTAAAGATATGTAAAAAAATATCCTCAGGTGAGGATTAAAAAAAATAAATAGGTTTCCATATATGAGAGTATAAGGTAATTGTCTTTCTCTGATTTACTTCACCTAGCATAATACCCTCCATGTTCATGTTGTTACACATGGCAGGACCTTTTTTATGGCTGAATACTATTTCACTGTATATATGTGCCACATCTTTAAACATCTGTTAATGTTTTCATGACTTTGCAATTGTAAATGTTGTTGCAATTATAACACAAAGGAGCATTTATCTTTTTCAGTTAGTGTTTTTGTTTGAATACCTAGAAGTGAAATTGCTGAATCAATAGTAGTTGCATTTTAATTTTTTGAGGAACCTCCATACTATTTTTTATAGTGGTTGCACCAATTTACATTCCCATTAACAGTGCACGAGGGTTCCCTTTTTTCCACATCTTCGCCAACCTTATTATCTTTTAGATAATCGTCCTTTTCACAGGTGAGGTGATATCATATTGTGCTTTTTACTTGCATTTCCCTGATGATTGATGTAGAGCATCTTTTCATGTACCTGTTGGCCATTTGTATGTCTTCTGTGGAAAACTGTCTATTAAGATCCTCTGCCCATTTTTAAATCAATTTTTTTTTTAGCTATTAAGTTATATGAGTTCTTTATATATTTCGTATATTAGTCCCTTATTAGATACAATTTGCAAATAATTTCTTCCATTCCACAGGTTCTTTTCATTTGGTTGATGGTTTCCTTTGCTGTGCAGCTTTTTAGTTTGACACAGCCCCACTTCTTTATTTATGCATTAGCTGCCTTTGCTTCTGCTGTCAGAGCCCAAAAAGTATCGTCAAGTTCGATGTCAAGGAGCTCACTCCCATTTTCTTCTAGGAGCTTTATGGTGTCAAGTCTTACATTCAAGTCTTTAATTCATTTTGAGTTAATTTTTGTGTATGGTGTAAGACAGTGATCCAGTTTCATTCTTCTGCTTCGGGCTGTCCAATTTTCCCAATACCATTTATTGAACAGACTGTCCTTTCTCCATTGTATATTCTTAGCTCCTTTGCAATATATTCACTGACCACATATGCATGGGTTTCTGATCTCTCTATTCTATTCCACTGATCTATATGTCTGTTTCTATGTCAATATCATATGCTTTGATTACTATAGCTTTGTAATATAATTTGAAATCAGAGAATGTGATGCCTCCAGCTGTTCTTCCTTTTCAATATTACTGTGGTTATTCAGGATCTTTTGTGGCTCCATACAGATTTTAGGATTATTTGTTTTATTTAAGTGAAAGAACACTATTGGCATTTTGATAGGAATTGCACTGAATCTGTAGATTGCTTTGGGTAGTATGGACATCTGAACAATATTAATTCTTACTATTCATGAGCATAGAATCTCTTTCCGTTTGTGTCTTCTTCGATTTCTTTCATGAATGTGTTATAGTTTTCAGTATACAGATTTTTCACCTCCTTGGTTAGACTTATTCCTACATATTTTGATGCATATGTAAATAGGATCATTTTCTTTATTTCTCTTTCTGATAGCTAGTTATCAGTATATATAGAAATACAACAGATTTTTGTATGTTGATTTTGTATCCTGTAACTTGAGTAAATCCACTAATTAGTTCTAGTAGTTTTTTGGTGGCATCTTTAGGGTTCTCTATATACAGTATCACATCATCGGCGAATAGTGAGTTTTAGTTCTTTTCTAATTTGAATGCATTTTAGTCCTTTTTCTTGCCTTACTGCCCTGGCTAGGACTTCCAATTCCATGCTGAGTAACAGTAGTGAGAGTGGGCATCCCCGTCTTGTTCGTGGTCTTAGAAGGAAGGTTTCTAGCCTTTCACTGTTGAGTATGATGTAAGCTATTTATGTCATTTATGGCCTTTGCTATGTTGAACATGTTCTTTCTATATCCACGTTGTTGAGAGCTTTTATCATAAATGGATGTTAAAATAAAATTTTAATTAAAGCTTTTAATACATTGTGGCAGAAAGGGCCTAAGCTCCCCATCCTCGAATACCTGAGGACACAGCAGCTACGTGAGGGCTATAAGATACCTTCTTGCCCCATTCACAAGGTTTTGTGTTAAATGTTACAAGAGCCAGCAGACACCCCCTTGGTGATGCACACTAAGAAGTGCTAAGATGATGAGGTGGTTGGCAGTGGGTGCTGAGTTGGTAGGTCGTGAAGAGGCCTAGGAACCCTGATTGCTTGCTCTGCTAGTTATTCTTTAAAAGCTCCTCATATACTAAGTAAGTACCTTTAGAGTTTTGCTGTTTATGCTCATAAAAAATGGGATATAAAATAAACTTGAAAATTATTTTAGGCATGAGAAGTAGAATCTATCTTCGTTTCCTATCATTTACTGAATGACTTTTCATCACTCTTGAAAAACCTCTTTATCATATGCTAAATCCCAGCATGTACTGAGAGGCCTATTTCTGGACTTGATTTTGTTCTACTGACCTGGACGTCTCTTCCTCTACCACTATCAAACCCCAATGTAGCATTATAATTTAATTCTATTTAATAGGCATCTCTCCTACTTCCTTAGAATGATGCATCACTAAAAGATTATAATGCACACCATCAATGTCACGTTTTTTAAGGAAGAGCAAATGGGACAAAATGTCTTAGAATCTAGTAAATATTAGTTAATACATTCTTTATGTTCTCAGTAGTCCTATTTTTTCACACCCTTTTTACATAGGGTAAAAAGGTTAGGTTTATTCAAGACATTTCAAACTTTTTTGGCTGCAACTGTGAATATTAACTTTTGAATGGATTACTGCTGACATATTGGAAAACTATTGATTTTTGTATATGAATCTTTTATCCAGACACCTTACTTCATTGATACATTGTTTTTTATACTAGTTTTTTAGTTTATTCCCTTGGAATTCTTAGGTAATCATATCTGTAACTACTGACAATTTTAACTGTTTCTTTTCAATACTCCAATACTTTTTTGTTTCTTACTGTATAAGTTGGAATCAGCAAAAAATTTAGCCGCCCCTCCCCCACCCCCCGGACCACTCAAATGTAAATTCCACCAGGGCAGGAATTTTTGTTTTATTCAGGGCTGACTCTGGCATCTAGAACACTGCCTAGTACACGTAGATACCAGTACATGTCTTCTTTGGGGGGAAGGCTCCAGTGCTTCCTATTTCAAAGTCTCTCATCAATTTCTCATTTCCATTACCTGCATAATACAATGGTCACATCTGTCCTAGCTGGCGCCCTACCCCTGATATCAGCACCCTAAAAAGTCCTGCGAAGTATCGCTTGACTGGTTTTCTGTAAACATAGTTCTGTTCCTTCACTTATGCTTTTTTCCCTTACCAGTCCATGAAGCCTCCCTGAATCCCAGTCTCACCTGAAGACAGAAGTAGCATGGCTGTGTACAACCTTTTTGCTTTTAGTAATATCTGTGTGTATGTGCCTCTGGACTCCTTTCAGAATATGACTAAAGCAAGGGGCTGCTTTTCAGAAAATGTCTCCACACAGAAATTCTTGCTAATAATTTCAAGTGGACAGAGATCTCATTCATGAACCAAGAATCTTCCTGTTTAGAAGAATTTGACTGATTCCTAGATGTTTTACATATAATTTTTACTAATCTAAACCTGTGTTATGCAATATAGTTGCCACTAACCAGGTGTACCTATTTACATTAAAACTGAAATCAAATAAATTTAAAATTCAGTTCCTTAGACTGGCTACATTTCATGTGTTCCATAGTCACATGTGGTCAAAGACACGAAACGTTTCCACCCTCACAGAATGTTCCACCAGACATGCTGATCTAGAAGAAGGTGATTACTCTGATAGTAACCAATGCACAGAATCTAGTTTCTACCCATGATCCATGCTCCACTCTTCCTGATTTTATTTATATGCATCAATGGCCCAGTATAAAGGCATTTCCCAGAGTTGCTGGAAGCTAGGTGTGATGATGGGATTAATTTCTCAGTAATTAATGTAGTGGGCTTCCAGGGAGCCTGTTAAAAGGAATCTTCCAGATGGGAACTGAACTCGGACCTTCCACTGTCCCTCGTCCTTCAGGCTGTGACATATACAGGATGGCCAGAGATGGTGTGAGGCAGGAAGCCCACAAGCAAACATCCTGGAGCATATGAGAGAAGACTGAGTCCCTGATGCTGTGAAGTTGCTATCACTGCCCTTGGCTGCTACCTCCAGCCTTCTATGTGGAAAGATGTGTAGTTTTATCTTATTTGATCTCTTTTGTATGCCTACTTGATACAGCAAGGAATATGTCCTTCCGCTGTTTACCCCAAACCCCAGTACAGGACTATCGATGTGGCCAGTCTGCTCACTGCAGAGTGTGTGCAGGTTCTTACCTTCTGCATGTTGAGTCGTAGCTCAGATGTTCTTATACTTCCTTCAGCAAACCTCAATTTGTCAAGATTCATGACAGATTCTTCCCCAGCATTTGCTTTAATAGGGGGAACCTTATCTCCTTTAAAAAAAAAAAAGACTAGAATTTAACTTCTGAAAAAAAACTGGACAAATTTAATGACATCAAATGTGTACTATAACCTTTCAGGGAGTTTGGAAAACATACCTGTAACTCTACCTGGACCACCCTATACCCAAGGAACCATCTGTTGACTTGGGGTCAAGGAGTAAATATAAAGACAAAGTGTCTGGCGAAGAGTATGTGTCCAATAAGTAATTTTTAAATGAACAAAAGAGAAACCATCTTTTAAGTTTAAAAATTCGATTACACAAGCAGACCTTGTACCATTACTCTCTATTAAGGGGGAAATGGCATCCTTCAGAATAGTGTTTCTCAGCAAATCTGCCAACCTTCCTTTCCCTCCACAGGCCTGGCCAGCTGTGTTTATGTCTCCCACTGATCCTGACCCTTGTCACGTAAAGGTTTACTGTTCTTGACTTTCTAAAAAGATAAATGTTTTGAGGATTTTTAAGGCTTTTTTGGGGATGACATTTTTAAATGTATTTTCTTTAGCATGTAATACATGCAGGATATATAAAATGCAGGAGACAAAGGTCTGCAGATAAAGCAGAGCACCAGCCTCTTTGTGATCTGCCTGAGCTCTTCTAAGCAGGCTGCTGTTCCCATTTGCTTTTGTTTATGTTTCAAAAAATTACCATTTAGTAACATTGATTTTTTTCTTTTCTTTTTTATCCTCACCTGAGGACATTTTTGCATTTATCTTCAGAGCAGGAAGGAGAGAGGGAGGAAGAGAGAGAGAGAGAGAGAAACATCGACATAAGAGAGACACATCGAGTGGCTGCCACCCAAATGACCCCAACCAGGGCCAGGGACAAATTTGCAACCAAGGTACATGCCCTTAGCAGGAACCGAACCTGGGACTCTCTGGTCCATAGGCCAACACTCTAACCACTGAGCCAAACTGGCCAGAGCAATAATTTTCTAATGATTTTTCTAAGCAAAACATAATAACTGCAAAAACATTTTGGCCAACATGTTACCCTCTTAACTGTTAGACCCCCACCCAGCCTGTGTCCAGTCTCAAGTCTGCCAACATGTAAACCTCTGAATTTGTTTCCTCACTTCCAGGGGGAAAACTAGACAACCACTATATGATCACTAAGCAAATCTCCAATTACAGACCTTGACTTTGTAACCTTTTGCCCACTGAAACACCCTCGCTAGCTACTTGAAGAAAACCTACCAGGTCTGCAGGACTCTGCAATACTCAGGGCACATGCCCGGCCAAAGACAACCAGGTCCAAGAGCGAATTTGCCCCAAGACGGTTGGCACCATGCACCGAGGCGCAGGCAGCCTCCCCACAGGCGTACAGGCCGGGCACAACCTGGTCCTGGCCGTTCACATGCCTCAGAACCTTTGGGAGAGAGGAACAGAGATGTAAGAGTACAGTCAGCATAGGCCCTTCCCCACAAGGAGCAGCATGCTGTAAGTCACACCAAGGACAGGGTCTTCTCTCGCCTGCAGGGAACCCTCTGGACCTATCTGCCAAGTCTTCTCCCTCTGCCTCCAGATCCTCAGTTACCCTGTGCCACGGTCAAAGGACCCCCAACGGCAGTACCTGTGATTTCAATCCCAAGGCTAATTCTCATCAGAAACCTCACCCACCACCTGACTTGACCCCCTTTATTCCCACTCTCCGATTTTGGATTTAGATGAAGGGAGCATGGCAGGGTACAGGAACATTAAACTATGAGGTAGAAGACTTGAGTTGTAATTCAGATTCTTCCAACTTACTACTCATCTATTAAATGAGAATATAATTCCTACCCACCTCACCTGAGGAGGGACTAAAAGTAACTGATCGAAAAGCTCTTTGTGAATTGCAAACCTCCCAAACATATTAATTGCAAACAACACAATTTACAAGATCACTGTAAAAATAACATGGGATCATATAGGAAAAAACGGCAAATGATGTCTATGACTATTTACTAAGAAGGGATTAATAAATAATTAAGAATTCATTGTTACTAAGGAGTGAATGCAAAAACTGGAATATAACTAAGGCCTTCCTCTGTCCTCCAGTAATAGCAATTTAAAATAAGTGCAGCCTATTAAGCAACTTTTTTGAGGAAAACATCTGCCTTTTCCTCCAAGATCTAAAGGGACAAATGCGAGGGGAGTCCACTGTCACCATCCTCTTTCCTGAAATGTAGTCACCTGTCCCTTGTAGTTAGTGGGAATACCACCCATGTTATAATGCACAGTGGGAAGGACTGGGATGGGCTCCTTGGTGACGTCCACACCCGCAAAGATCATGGCCGTCTCTGAAATGCCAGGCAGGCGGATGGCCAGCTGCTCCGGGGGCAGGTGGTGCAACTGTAGGTAGACGTGATCTTTCTCAGGGCCACAGCCTCTGGTAAAAAAAAAAAAAAGGACAATACAACATAAGGCAAAGAACAGTGATTACAGAAAATGTGAGATTACAAAATCATCAAAGCACATGAGACTCCCCATTTTTTGATACTGAATAAAACCTATTTATTTCAACTTTTCTAAGCACCTACTGTGCCAGGGTAAACTCCAGACACTGGACACAGTCATGAACAACATGGACAGACATCCTGACCTCACTGGGCTCACAGTTTGCTACACTTTCCTTGGTAAATGCATCAAAAAGTCCTTTTATGCCAAATATTCCAAAAAAATCATTTGACTTCTCTTTTGAAAAAAGGTAAAATCTCCAAAGGTCATTTTACCAGCAAATATTTGATGAGTCACCCAGTAAGGCATAGTGTCAGGCATTGAAGGGCCTAAAGCTGACTTTTGGAAGAACAAATAGCCCACACACCTTGAAGGTCACAAAACATGGACTGAAACACAACACAACACTAAAGGCTCCCATGCTACTTTCAGGTTGGGGGGTCATGTCTTGCTTTTCCAACAGTCTGTCTGTCTCATCTCACTCTCATACACACACAAATCATGTTCTAAGGAGTTACACCAGACTGGCTAAATTTCTTGCTTTGGCCAGGTGGCTCAGTTGAATGGAGCGTTTTGGTCCCTTACACCAAAATGGCTTTGGGTTCAAGTCCAGTCAGGACACATACCAAGGTTGCAGGTTTGATCCCCAGTAGGGGTACATATAGGAGACAACCGACAGCTCTCTCTCTCTCTTAAAAATATCAATAAAAAATCATCCTTGGGCTGGCTAGTGTGGCTCAGTTGGTTGAGCACTGTCCCATGCATCAAGAGGTCACTAGTTCGATTTCCGGTCGGCACATATGTCTGGGTTTCCGGCTTAATCCCCAGTAGGGGCCGTGCAGGAGGCAGCCGGTCAATGTTTCTCTCTCTCTCCCTCCCCCTCTCTCTAAAATCAATAAAAATACATATTTTTAAAAATCATCCTTGGGTGGGATTGAAAAAAAAAAAAAACTGGCTAAACTTCTCAAAAGGTAACTCTCTAGAGTAGGGGTGGGGAATGTCGGCCCTCAGGCCGTCTAAGGCCTGTGAAATCAATACCAGCCATCACAGTAGGGGTGAGTTCGTTAAATGTCTGACCAAATATGGAAGGCTAATTTTTAAGTTGATAATTTTGTATGGCCCTCAAATGATGTTATAAATGTCCAAATGGCCCTAGGCAGAAAAAAGGTTCCCCAACCCTGCTCTAGAGAGACAAACTAACAGACAACAGTCAGAAGCAGTAGAGGCAAAAGCCTGACTCCTACACAGAGGTGGGTGGGTGCTGCAACTCACACAGCAGTCACACCAGCTAATGTTAAAACGCAGACGTGAACAACAGCCGCCCGAGAGAGGAGGCTGTTCGCGCATGCATGTGCACTCAGGCACCTTTGGAGATGATCACACAGACCTTCCTTCACGGATTTCCAGTGTCATGGACCGAGACACGACATCTCTGGAGGCCAGGTCCTTTGCGACTGGGGCATATCGCTCCATGAACCTCTCGCCTTGACTGTTAATGAGAATGCCTCCCTCTCCACGGCACCCTTCTGTGATGAGACAGCCAGCACCATATATCCCTGCAAAGAACCCAATTAATTAAATATCTATAACCTGACAATGCTAGGTCTATGCAAGTATTTTCTAAAAGACATTGAGGGGTGGCAAAGGGTATGCAAAAAACATTAAAGTCAACACAGTAAGACAGAAAAAAAGATAAGAAATAGTAGGTAGGAAATTTAGATAACAAAAGGCACCGATAAAACTGCAGTGAGGAGGAAGGACAGCTGCAGTGGACAATGATGCAGCCCTGCCAAGCACTCTGGTTTTAACTGCACTTGAACCTTTCAATATAACTAAGTATATGTTAACTATGTCAGATTTTGTTTTAATTTTTAAACATCCCTTTGCACCCTGAAATTGTGGTGAGTAGTTTAGGTTAAAAAACAACAACAGCTTGGAAAGTCCTGTCTAAAGTAACCAAATACCAACAATGGTAATAACTACATAGTTAATACTTGTAGTTGTTATGCACAATTCTAAGTTTCCCAATGACTCCAGATAATATCATCCCCATTTTCAGAGAAGGGCAATTAAAGCTCAGTAAGTTGCCTGACGACCCACTGGGAAGGACAGAGCCCAAACTCATGCCTGGTAACACACGAGGTCTGTGCCCTTCACCTCAACTCGGCCCCTCAATGTAATGAAAATGAGGAATGCCAAGCCACGCTCCAGTTTTAAGGAGACAGATACCTAATGTAATTTGACAGCTAACACTTTTATCCATACATCAAAAATTATCTTACTTTTAAAACAAGAAGGCAATTCTTGCATTTCATTTGCTTTTCGGTGTTCTAGTTTAAACGGCATTTTTTCCAGAGGTTTATTACTCACACAATGAAAAGGAAGCATGAGAAATGGAGCTCTAAATAAATCACCGAGGGAATTCAGAAGTCTGGTTAAAATTAGCAGTTCTAAAACCACCTACCACATTTTTTATTTTTCATCCCTGCTAGGGATCAGAAGAACATACTGACAGAGCGAAGAGAAAGCACAGGTCTAGCTCTCAGCATGGTGGTCACTGCCACCATGTGTGAAGTTTCCTCTGTTGACAGGTCAGAAAAGCAACCCAGAAAGGACAAGATGAGAGTCATCTCTCAAGAGATGGGATTCTCAGATTTATTTATGGATAACATCCCCCAAACTCTCTCAAACCTAAAACCCCAGCCTAGACCACCCGCTTCCGAATCCCACTCTTGTACTGTCTGATGACCAAAGATCAGTTCATCTCCGCCATGACTGGCACCCTCACTCATTAACACCACATGGAGCCCTGCAAGTCAGAGCTGCATCCCGACATCACTGTGTTACTGTGGCAGCCTGATGTTCTCCCTACAGATCTGCTCATGCTACTCTTCTGGTCGCCTCCCAGGTGCCAGGCACTGAGAACACAGCAGTAAATGAGACAGACCTGTCCCCACCTCCTGGAACTGACAACCCAATGGGAAAAGGGACACTGAACAACTGTTGCTTTACAAGAGGGGTAAGTACACCTGGGCAATGTGTAGCTAAGACAAGACCTCCACTACCTTGGGGGAAGCAGGGAAAGTCTCCTGAGGAAATGACAAGTTAGGACCTGAGAGATGAGAAAATAGGTAAGTTGTACAGGAACTGCAGACGAGCATTCCACAGGTACTGAGTGCTTAAAAGACACAAAGAGCCCCAGTTCCACAAAGACAGCCCCATCCTACCTGTGGGGTGGAACTGAACAAACTCCAAGTCCTGGCAGGGAAGGCCTGCCCTGGTGATCATGGCAGTGCCATCTCCAGTGCTGGTGTGGGCAGACGTGCAGCTGAAGTAGGTGCGCCCGTAGCCTCTGGAAAACAGACAAGCTAGCAGAGACGGTGTTGACTACACAGTGCCCATCAGAACCTCCTTTCTAACGGCACTGCGTGGACAGCAGCCCATGAGGCACCACCACAGGTGCCCTCTGCCCACACTACCCTGGGCAACTGGGAGGGGAGCCTAGGACAGAGAAGGCACTCTCATTTGTACTTTAGTACTTTTGTGCTGTTGGAGCGATTTCTCTTAAGATAAGCATGTATCGTTTTTAACATCAAATTTTTAAAATGTTTATGAATTCACTTTTTTAAAGGGTTTAAATAACAGACTGATGGTATAAAATGAAATTTACTTATTTCCATCATGTGAACAAACAGCACTTATCTACCTGAGAAATCAGTATAAAACAGTATCCATTAAAGCAAAAGAGATGTTACTCCAGAAAGTGTCATGTGACTCTCTAGGCCTTAGTTTCCTCAAGGGTCCTCCCCACTGCACACTGAGAAGACTCTTTCTTGCCCACCTCAGAGTGGGTGCTATTGGTGCCCCCTTGAAAGGGGAGGAGCCGAGGCTGGCAAAGTGATGACCCTCACAGGCTAAGAGATGGCCGTGACCAAACCACATGTCCAAAATGCCTCGACTTTGATTAGGATAAGGGACCCCTGAAACTCAACTTCCACACAGGGAAATTAAATACAATGAACATTAGATTCCTACCCAGTAGCTATAACAGTGTTCTTCGCTCTGATGCGATGGATGGACCCATCTTCTATGCACAGTGCGATAACACCACGACATTCCCCATTTTCCATCAGGAGGTCCAAGGCAAAATACTCTACAAAATAGCTGGTATCGTATCGTAGAGACTAAAAAGAAAAAAGATCCCACATTTAGGGTGTTAAACCAACATTAAGGCAATGTTGTTCGTGTTAAAAACCTTGGATGTGTGTGTAACAAATGGATCAGGTAAACCCTGGGAGAGTACCAGGCTAGAAACAAGTCACAGACGCCAACTCTCACCAACACAGTGTTGATACTATCATGAAACAACACAAAAGGGGCTGTATAAACAAAACATAAAAAGGTGCACACACACCAGTGTACGCCAGAAGGAGACTTGACTCCAGAAGAGACTGGTAATGTGCTAACACACCTCTTATTTCTATACACCCTAATAGGCATTCCAGGCTCTCTGGTGCCACACACAGTTCAATACCAGAGCTGGGGCCAACAGACCACAGGGTCTCTACTTAGGCTGGGTTGTACTATACAGGATCTGCTGGCCACACATAGCCACTTAGTCTAAATAAAACAAAACATTCAGCCCCTCAGCACACCAACCACATTTGTGATGGTCACATGTGGTGAGATGCTGCTGGATTGGACAGCCCAGATAAGCATATTTCTATGGCAACAGAAGGTTCAATACTAGACAGTGGGGGCCAAAGACCTGGATCTGATGGTCCCCTCGGCTAACAGAAAGGTCTCTCATGAAACTGTCTTCTTCCTACGTGACACACAAATCATGCGATGAGCAGGTCCTGTTACATATTTGTCAACACACTCGGCCAGAGAAGCCACTGGTGTCCTAACTGTCTCATTTGTAAACAAGAATTCAGAATACTGATTATTCTGAATCAATATTATTCAGAATATTGATTATCTGGCCATGCCAAAGTTTGCCCTGATTGGCCAGTGACTGCTAGGCTCCAAGAATTAGTCCAGTTTTAACAGTTAAGTAAAACAAATCAATCAGTTCATAAAAGGACCTTAAAATGTGTGCTCTGCTCTTATATTTTCAGTGTGACAGATTACAAATTCAAACCTGGTATGTAATGATTACCAATTTAGTTTTCTAAAATAGATACTTTCTAATTAACAATTACAACACACAGTCTACCAGCTATTCTGTTGCTTTTTAAGACACTCCTTAGGCTGACGTTCTGACACTCTGACGAATCCCCAGGTGGCCTGTCTCCGGCTCATCACCACATGCTTGGCCAGACTGGACCAGGCCCCATCATCCCGGCACCCAGGGCGGCTCACCCTTCCATACAACGTGTGCAGCAGCGAGTGGCCAGTGCGGTCAGCCACACAGCAGCACCGATGGGCCTGCCCGCCTTTCCCAAACTTGAGGCTCTGACCGCCAAAGGCCCGCTGGTAGATCTTCCCATCCTCAGTTCTACTAAACGGCATGCCATAATTCTCCAGCTATGAAACAAAAACAAACACCTAGTACTTTAAGGAATCAAGACACATGGCTAGTTTACTCCGAGCAACTTTAAACTAAATCTGTGAACCTAACACTAATATATTTATGAAAACGTCGACAGTGCAGGAAAGAGAAAATTTTCCTTATTAAATGAATTGAATGGTTAATAGCAGAAAAGATTTCCCTTGTTACACTGGCTCGTCACCATCCTTTCAGCTGACCACATCTGCCTCAATCCCATTAGAAACAGACTGTGAGGACGTTACCTCAACCACGGAAGCCGGGGCCTGCTCTGTCATGTAGTGGATGGCGTCCTGGTCCCCCAGCCAGTCAGAGCCCTTCACGGTGTCATAGAAGTGCCACCTCCAGTTGTCCTCCTCCATGTTCCCCAGGGCAGCATTGATTCCTCCCTGAAAACACAGAGCAACCTCAGAAACTACAAATGAGAGCCCCAAGGCATCCACCGGGCTCCTCTCTCCAGCACTGCACGACAGATTCCAAATCATGCCTCCTCCCCTTACCAACCTAACCATGTGGGCCAAGTTACTGAATCCCCCCGCCTCCGTCTCTGTATCCATGACACCAAGCTAAACTCCTTGAAGAGTTGTCTGGAGAACTAAGTGATAGAAGTTACATATGTAATATTTCTTACCAAACCTGGCACATAACAGGTACTCAACAAATCTGTATAATTTTAAGACAAAATGTTCCTAATGGTATTTTATGAGCGTTACATACAAGAAGTACTTACTACCAAGTCCAAACTCAGAGCCACTCTCCCCATACCCCCACCTCCTTTTGCTGTGCAGATAACCCATCCCTGCCTTACCTATCCCCACTGCCTCCGCTGCTCAGAGGCACAGAAAACGCAGTACAGGGACAAATGTAACGCTCACCCCTTTCCCTCACAACTTAAGAGTAGATTTCTCCTCTTCAGATAATCTTTTTTTCACAAGGTACATTTTCTAACTTACCTCTCTTTTTTCAAATTGTTATTCAAGCACAACTTTTGAATCAAGCACACCTACACTGAAATTCCTTTCCCACTTAGTGCTTCTGTGCCTCAGTTTTCCAAGTTATGTGTTAGGACAAAATGAGTCACTGGCAGAGAGCAAGGGACCGTGTTATTTCCTTCTTCCATTCTCCAACTCCTCCAACTGTAAACCCAAATGCAACTGATAAAATACATTAAGTATTAGAGTAATGGCAGAATATAGAAAGTTGGTTTAAAATAACACAAAAATACTTGGCCCAGCGCAAGCATAAATGCTATTTATTTTATTGCTACTCTTAGTAAGAATCGGGGCCATGGATGCCTGGTCTTCTGGACATTCATAGAAGTACTCTTCAGACTCTCATCCTTCCAATTAAACCTCTTTTCTCAAGAACCAATATTCAAGTTAAGTCATCCTTTCCTTATTCTTTTTATTTGATTAATACTGTACTACCTACACATATTTTGCAATATTATTTAACATTATCTGTTTGTATTTGTCCCTTTAGACAACAAATTCTCCAAAGGTATATATTATTTATTCTTTAATTTACAAAGCATAGCTTAAAACAAAGTATCTGGACAGCTAAGTGCCTGAAGAATGTTGTTGGACACAATACAGGATGCTCCACATTAGGGTGGTTTTTATGGACTATGGAAAGTCACCACACACTCTATTGTCTCTATAAAAAAGACAGTCAAATATGATTTTGGAATACTACCTGTATTCCAAAGAACAAAATTATGAAACCACCGAGTAATTTTTCACCTTACTTTAGTCCTCTTCCCTAAATTCAGAGCCGCTGTTTTACTGTCCTGCACATTCATGCCATCATCAAAGCTCATCACCACCACACTCAATGAGGATGCAGCAGTAAGTAACACAGGATTCCGAGCAGACATAAAACAAGCCCAAAGACAAACTCATTTCAGATTGGTAAGTGCAATAAAGGAAGTTAAACCAAGAAGAGGGGAAGGGGACTAAGTGGAGTGATCAGAGACGATCCATGTGTGACAACAAGGCTCTAGGCAGTGAGTAGGGGAAGTGTGGGCAGAGATGCCTAAGGGAGTAAGCTGAGCGAGTGCAAGGAGAATGGTGGGAAGGTGGCCTGTGGCAGGAGGCCGTTCAAGCAGAGGCTGGACTGCACAGTGCCTTGCAGGTGGCCAAAAGCACTGAGAGAGCCCCTTCTCTTACCTGGGCTGCCACAGTGTGGGACCTGGTGGGAAAGAGCTTTGTAACACAGGCAGTGTTAAACCCTGCCTCAGAAAGGCCAAACGCAGCTCGCAAGCCTGCCCCTCCAGCGCCAACCACCAGTGCGTCAAATTCATGATCCACTACTGGGTATTGTGTAGAAATCTGGAAAAGAAAAATTCACCTGTCAATCACCCATTCAACTATGTCGAACAGACTATAGCTACAGTGAAAGAGCTTAAAGGTAATGAAGAAAAAACACAAAAGAGCAAGTGCCCAGAGAGCCTCCACCCTGTGTGAGGCTGAATACCAACACCTCACAGTCCTAAGACGTGGTGGGCACACCCTCAGTGAAGAGGGCCAGCCCTACCCATGCCAGGTAGAGCCTTATCCTATGAAGCTAGGAAACCATTAGCTGGAACACTGAAAACGTAAAGGTACACCTCCAAGCTGGGAGCTGTAGACACAAAAGAAAGCACCAACACAGATCAAAACACCAATTCTAGAGTTTGCTTTTTTTTTTTTAATGATAATTTTTACTTATCTTTTTTGTTTGTTTGTACCCATATACATAGGCTTAAATGAATCGGAGCTTATAATGTAATGTAAGTCACGATTCTCCACCTGTGATCAGCAAGCTTCCCATGAAAATGTTAAAATTAAATACTTTTCATTCAGATAAGCATAGTCCAGTTCACCTGGTTGACCACAGAAGAACCAAGGACCACAACTCTATTTCAGTCCTAGGTTTGCATTTTTGACTGAGAAGGTGCCAACTAGTACTCACTAACTATTGTGAGGTTATGAGAAAAGAACCTGTAAGCAAATTTCAGATTCTTCCACAGAGAGCAGATGAACCCACTGAACAAAAAAAAAGAAGGCCCTGGCTGATTTGGCTCAGCGGTCAGAGCATCAGCCCGAGGACCAATGAGTTGCGGGTTCGACTCTGGTCAAGGGCACGTAACTTGGTTGCGGTTTGTCCCTGGTCCTGGTTGGCTCGTCCGGAGGCAGCCAGTCAATGTGACTCTATCACATGGCTGTTTGTCTCTGTCTCTCTCCCTCCCACTCTGTCTAATAATAAGTAGAAAAATATCCCCGGGTGAGGAATAAAAAAAAGTCTACATGGTCCTGAGTGGAATATCATCATCTACCATAGTAAAATGTTCATATGTCATTTGTATTTTATTATTTTGTTGCTTTACTTAATGTAAATTTTAATCTGGTTTATAGATACATAAGAGCTATAAGAAAACAATGTTAGCATCTATGTTTATATTTGTAGTAACAGTATTACTACACTAAAAAAATAATCTGGACATGCATTGGAATGAGAATTTTTTTCCTTTAAATAAGACCTGTATACTACTCAAATACATTAAAAACCAGTATAGATCATTACCTCTCTGAGCCAAGAAAATCACTTATAATAGAACAAAAAGACGCGAACTTACTGAATCTGAAACTTTAGCAGATGATCTCTTATTCCCATCAACAGTGAAGTGAAAACCACGGGACCTTGTCTGCAATGCTGCTGGCCGCTGCTGAGAGATGGAGAGCACTGAGTGCCTTGAAGAAACAGGGGACTTGTAATTAAAATTTCTTCTACTGCCCTGGCCAGTTTGGCTCAGTGGTTAGAGTATTGGCTGGTGGACCAAAGAGTTGAGGATTCGATTCCGGTCAAAGGCACATACCTTGGTTGCAGTTCGTCCCCGGCCCTGGTCAGGGTCATGTGGGAGGCAACCAGTCGATGTGTCTCTCTCACATGGATGTTTCTCTCTCTCCCTCCTACTCTATCTGAAGATAAATAGAAAAATGTCCTCAGGTGAGGAGTTAAAAAAAATTTTTTTCCCTCTACCAAGTTGTTAACCTTTTTGTGTATTCAGGTATTTCCCTTCACCTAGAAACCTCACCTGGAAGCCTTACTGAACCCAGCGGGGTAGAGCAGGGGCTAAACACTCACACAAGCCCAAAGGGGATGTGGCATTCTAGGAAAAACCTTTCAAGATGAAGCTGGTTTCCAAACAGGATTCTGACTCAGATAGAAAATGAAAAGGGTATGCTTTCGCATTTTCTTAATTTATGTTACTTAAATGGACAATGGGGAAGACATCTACATTGAATAAGTGGTAGTTTTGCAAACAAGGAAGCAATTTATTGAATCCATCATAAACCTCTTCACAGTAGAGATAAAGCCATCTGTGAGGTTCTGCAGTTTATTGAGAAAGGCATGGGACCTTGTAGCAGGAGATCAGTGCTCTGAACAGGCTCTACTGCTTGTTATCCCTCCCACAGAACACACAAGGAGTCCAGGCCCAGAGATGCTAAAAGTCCTGCTTCACCCCTCTCCACATCTACACTAGGCTTCAGCCACACCTCCTCTCATCTATCTACACCAGTGTCATTCCCTCTGCCTGGACCCTTGTCCCTGGCCTTTCCCTTGAGAACCTCTGTAATTCTCCAAGCCTCAGCTTAAAGGTCCCACACCATAAACATTTACCTAAGACAACTCATATTAAAGAAAATACAGCCCAGCATGAGAGGCAACTTTCTCCATATACTAAGAATGGTCAGCAATTTAGAGAATAAGATTTTCCATTCTGCTGATTGCATTTTACTAGACTAATGATAAAAACAATGAGTCTTAGAAAGATCATAAAGAACAGGTTTAGGAAATAAATACATTCAACAATGACAAAAGGTGTTACGAGAGAAGACTTCAAGTATTCTGCAGTCTGGAAGAGATGTTTACTCTGCAGGTTAAAAAAAAAAGTATTCGGCAGGACAAACAAGGGGAGATTACAGGAAAGACAATTAGGCAAAATACAAAATAAACTCTCACTTAGCTGTTGTAAACTAAATGGACTTTGCTGTAAGATGAAAGGACTCAGGTGGGGGCTGGATGACTTGATCACCTGTTAAGGAAAAGTCAGAGATGGCGCCTACCTTTAAAGTTCTTTCTAACTCTGAGACTGATGATGACTAGCACAAATATTTGAGTTTATTTTAATAGCTCCGATTACAAAATAGTTTAAGATTTTTAAATAGAGCTGAATTGATAAAGTAGTATTCTTAAATTCTCCAATTTATTTTTAAGTACATTTGTTTTTATTGACATAAGATAATTTGGTTTTTTCTTTCAGAAAATAAATTAAAAAGAACTAAAAAGGCCCTGACCAGTTTGGTTCAGGGGTTAGAGTGTTGGTCAAAGGGTCGCAGGTTTAATCCCCTGCCCTGGACAGGGTCGTGCAGGAGGCAACAAATCGATGTGTCTCTCTCACATGGATGTTTCTCTCTCCCCTGCAACCTTCCACTTTATCTAAAAAAAAAACAAAAAAAACAATGGAAAAATATCCTTGGGTGAGGATTAACAACAACAAAATAACTAAAAGGAACAAATATTCCTCTGCTTCAATTTATTTTTTTAAATGGTAAAATCATATTCTAACAAAAAATTAAGTCACTGAAAGAATTTTAATACAAATGTTCTTGAAAATTGTATAGAGTATAATATAAATAAAGGTAATAATACCAATAAGAACAGTACATTTTGTAAAACCAAATTAAGATAGAACAGTGAGATTCTCTAAGTATTTCTTGTTTGGATGTTCATGTTGAAGACACACACACACACACACACACACACTTAAAAGGAGGCAGCTACTACAATGAAATCTTTAAGAAATGATCACACTGTCTCCCTGTGGAAAATATTAACACTGACTTTTGTTTCTAAATCTGATTTGGGATGGGGGTGGGGGAGGTGACTGTAGAATTTGGAGAGTCCAATCGTAATCCAATTTCTGTCTTTAGATAAAACTAGTTTTGAGTCACTTACTAATCTAATGTTTTTTGAAGGGAAACCATCAAACATTTTCTAACAAGGCAACATAAAGAATGGGAAAATCTACCTAAGGTACAACTAAAAGGAAAACTAAGACCTTTTAATAGTATAGGTGACTTAATTAGGAGGTAAAAAGGAGGATAAAGGAGAAGAGTAGATACTGATATCATTAATCTAGCAAAGTGGGGAGTCCTCATCTAACAGAATACATGCATGAATCATGAACAAGAAACTCATTTGTTAGTTCAATCTATACAATTACAAAAGTAGCCAATAGAGGATCTGAAAATGGATGCATAGTTATATTGGGAGGACTGAGAATGTGGGAAGTAAGATGGTTTATGTAAACTAAATCCTTTCTTACCAACAAAGGTCCATGTCTAAAACAGATAAAAATGCGCCTGCATTATTAGCTAGAGAAATGGAGGTAAATGCCAAGGATCAATACCAGAAATAATTCAGAATTGATTCCACTGGGGAACAGGTCTGGGAAAAGAGGGAGGGTGTCTTATTCCTTTTCATTTATAAGGCCTTCTGCACTCATTGACTTCTTTTTTACAGCTATGTATAATTATTTACATTAAAAATTTAAAGATATTTAAAACAGGGATGCTTAAAATATAGCTGTCAAGGTTGTAATACAGTTCGCAAGGTTACTGAACACAGGCTGCAAGCAGTGGGCCCTGGCTCAGATGAGCACACATGAAGATTTCACATATTACATCATAGAATCCTCATTAACCCCACAGAGAAAGTGAGTCCATCCAGAGTGCCTGAGCTTTGGACTTGGGTCTGGCTGGCTAGTCCCAGTTCTTGTACTTTCCCTACTACCTAAGACCCTTGGGGAAAAAAATCTATGGAACTCCAAATTAAGATGAACATCCAGGTTATATATCAAAACCAAAGCATAATTATTCAAGTGAACTAGGAAAAATACCACACACAATACAAAACTATGCAATTGGCATGCTTATTATACCAAGAAGCAAAAAATTTAATTCTAGATATACCATTAAAACATACTTGAAACAATACATACAAAGAAAAGGAATTAACTTAGGACAAGGGTCTCAAGGTCTGGGCAGTTCTATTATTTCTTGCTAAATGTTAAAATATAGCACAGTATTTTTCAGATGCAGCAGTAAACAGGAAGTCAATACCAAAGGTTTATATACTCTGACCTGTTGTGCTTAGGATCCTACTGTTACTTTCAGCTATAAGCTGGAGCCAGAATTCTAGTCCAGCCTGGATAAAGAACAATTTCTGTTTTCACAAATTAACACAGGGTGGGTGGTGGGTGTAGGGAGTTCCACAGGCTGAAAGGAGGTAGGGGGATCTTATTCTGCACAAGGAAGGTTTGGGCACCAGTCCCAGTTGAAGACAGACATATTAGCCCTTTTCCAATTACCACCAGCTACCAATCTGTCATTTTACCTAACATGTAGGAAGCACTTAGAAGTTTGCTCATGTTAGGCTGACTAAAAATACTCCGCGGACAGAACTTCACTTGGACTCCCTACCGAGTTATGTCTTAGAGCCCAAAATGGGGTGGGGGTTACCCCGCTGGTCACTAAGCACGCTACAGTATTTAAAATGCTTTCTCCTGTTGGCAGGAAGGGATGGCTGACTAAACCCTCTCACATTTAATTGTTAATGCCTTGGTTCCTACTGGAACTTTTACAACGTAATTAAATTGCTAAGTAGATGGGTGAACAAGTTCATTTAAAGGAATCAAATAACCAAATCCTCTAAATTTAGTGTGCTTGTAGAAACCAAACCGTAAAGGATCGATTCTGAAGATGTACTTGTAAAGAGTGCGTTTGACAAACCCAGCACCGAGGGCTGAGGAAAGCACACCTCTGCCTGTCATCCTAACTGACCCAGCAGGCGGCGGCACATGCTCCGCAGACTTCGGCCTCCACAGATAAGCAGGAAAACAAGTGACCCAGCGTCCTCTCCAAAACGTGGTTTTGCAGTCAGTGTGCTGACATTCTTCGTTTGATTTTTAAAAGCGTGCACAAATGCCACGACACAAAACCCCAAATGAAAGGCTTAAACTTACTTGCCAGGCCTCGGTGTGGACACACAATCTATGCTTTCTCGAAAGGGGACCGGGATTTGCAAACAGTTGCAAGGCAAGCGGCTGTTGGGCATGCGTTCCACTTCACCCCGCCTTGGGCGCCAAGGACAGAGCCGGGCCGGGGACCACGAGCTCGAACCCACCCTGCCACCGGCCACCCGGGGCCGCGGCCGCCCCATTGCCGGGCTGCGGGGATCAGATGGGACTCTTCCAGAGACTGTAGGCAGAGGGCCACGCCCTGCCGGCGCCTGAGGCTACGGTCCCGCCTCCAGCCCAGTTCTGCGGACTTTTGCGATTCCGAGGTTCCGGACACGCACAGGCCGCTACCTGCTGGCGTGACCTTGAGCCGACTCGCTTCCTCTCGGCGTTCATACGCCTGGAGCGAAGCCCGGGAGACCTTGGCCCACGGGGCACCCTGGACGGAGAGGGGATCCTGGGGAGGTTCGTGGGATCGTGACCTTCAACAGGACACAGCCCGGCCGACTTTGGAAAAAGTCCGAGGGCCTCCCTGACGACGCCGGAGCCTATCGGGAGGCCCCGCAGGTGCTCTCCGCGGCGCCAGCTCAGAGGCGGTCCCCAGCCCGTCCAGATCAGAGACCGAGACACGGGGCCCCGGCGTCTGCTCCGCCCTGGCCTGCGGGGACCATCTGTTCAGACCTCGGCCCCCACCCCACCCGTCCCGCCCCAGCCTAGACGAGCCCGGCCGGGCCCGGCCCGCGATGCCGACTCACCGCCCCAGTCAGCGCCAGGCGTCTGGCGCGCAGGAGCCGCGACACAACTTGGACCACCGACATGTTTAGCCGCAGCTGCCCAATCCCACTAACCCCAGCACCAAGCCGCGCCTGCGCACCTCGCCGCTCCCGGGGGGGGGGAGGGGGGTTCTGAGCGGGAGAACACTGCGCCTGCGCACTACGCCGCGCCCAGGGTCGAGGCTGAAAGAGAACCTGCGCCTGCGCACCTCGCCACGACCCAGGGAGGGGGCTTGCGTGGGGGCACTGCGCCTGCGCAGAGAGGACTCGCAGACCGCGGTGTGCTGTGGTGCCTTGTTCCGCGCTCCAGACAAGGAGGTAGGTTGGGGGTCTGTGCACTCCAAGCGCTGGAGGTCGGGCTGTGTTCGGGGCGGGCCAGGTAGCTCGTGTGGAAGCCCCCGCGGTTGGGGAGTTGAAGACCCGGCTGGGGTCCTATTCGGCTCCGGGCTTAGGTGTCATTACCCACTCGCCTGATGTCACCTGCGGTCCAGATGGTCTTTCTGTTTTTCCTTCTGTGTTGTGAGATGTCTGAGGATCTTTTGTGGAAGGAAGTGGCGTGGGAATAATGGTAGCAATAGTCGAAAGTAATATCATCATCATCCCGCTTTTCACGTAACTTTAGATTAGTAACATCTTTTGGGGGCGCAGTTGTGTGCAGCCATGTACTTTTGAATTATTTTGACAAGTTAACAAGGGACCCTTCCCACTTTATTGACATTTAGGTTGTTTCAAAACGATTGCCACTAGTTAATGAGGCCATAAAAAATATATTTGTGCCTAACTTGTGTCTTTATGTGGGACTACGTTGTCTTTATTAGAATTACATGTTTCCTAGGCCACAGGCCCAGAGGGAATGAATACTTCCCACATGTCCTTTGAAAGTCATGCAGTTTAGTAGTTTCAGGTAACTTTTTTATTCCATGGTCACCATAAACTCCTTAACATGAATTCCTGAGCCATATTTTGGCACTTCTTTATTGCCAGTTAGAATTTTAGGTTTTTTTTTTAGGTGTTAAACAATTGTCTATTGAAAAACCTATTAAGATTTTAAAAAATCGATTTGAATTTCTTTTTTCTTAAGTGTCCCTTGACTATTTCTTTTGTCATCAGTCTGTATGATTTGTCACAGTCAGTCACAAAGAAACAGGCTGAAAGCCCTCATGACTGTATTTTGTGAAAATGCCCGACCTAGTGTAGGCACTTAGTGAAGTGGCAAATCCATATTAACATGAGATCCCAGCCTGGTGATGGAGATAAACCAGGAGCTTCAGGCAAAAAGGTCTGTAAGCTGGAGTTCATGACCAGTGTCCAGATGAAGCCTCCACTCGCTAGGCCTTCACCCCTCAGTGCCTATCACCTTTCCTAAAGCAGCCAGTGTTTTGACACCTTCATATTTATGTCTTAATGTACCACCATAATTTAAAACATTTTTATACAAAAGAACTTCCCTTGTCCTACTTGTTATTTCGGTTGAGACACATTTCTGTCCCCACTGTACTGGTGGTTGTACTGTATTGGGAGTTGCTTTTATCTGAGGTCTTTTCTTCTTTTGATCCCATAAGGTTCAGTGATGTGCAACACATATGTAGTCTGAATAACATTTTTTGGAAGAAAAATATTCTTATGAACCACATAGATGATAAAATTGTGATGTATTTTATTCCTTTTGTATGGTTAATGGCTTTATTATTTACTTCAAGGTATATCTTCATGAATAACTTAAATGACCCCCCAAATTGGAATATCCGGCCTAATTCCAGGGATGATGGGGGTGATGGAAGCAAATGGAATTATGCTCTGTTGGTTCCCATGCTGGGATTGGCTGCTTTTCGTAAGTCACAGTTTTCCTAAGGGTTGTATTTTCTGGGCTGAGCTTCAGTTTCCCTGTCCATGGGAGGTGGCAAATCAGAATTACCTTGATGTGTTGTGAGGGTTAAATACAACAAGATATTTAGGAACATTTGTGGAGTGGGTTTTTTTTTTTAAATGTTTTTATTGATTTTTTTTTTTTAGAGAGAGATAGAAACATCCATGTGAGAGAGAAACATCTGTCGGCTGCCTCCTGCACACCCCCCACTGGGGATTGAGCCCACAACTCAAAGCATGTGCCCTGACTGGGAATTGAACCGGGGACCTCTCAGTCCATGGGATGATGCTCAATCCACTGAGCAACACTGGCTGGGCAAAAGTTGGTTTTATATTTTGTCATATCCTGTGGTTCAGGGTTGGCATTAAAAATATGAAAAAATAAATAACTGAATGGAAGAAAAGCAAAAGCTGTTCTCTATTTGCAGTGATACTTTTTATGGAGAGGCTTTTTTTTTTTTTTTTTTTTTTTTAATACTAATCCTCACCCAAAGACATTTGCATTTATCCTCAGGTAGAGCCAGGAGGGAAAGAGAGAGAAAAATATCGATGTGAGAGATACACATTGTGTGATTGCCACCCACACGACCCCAACCAGGGCCGGGGACAAACTGCAGCCGAGGTATGTGCCCTTAGCAGGAACTGAACCCGGGACTCTGGTCCGCGGGCCAATGCTCTAACCACTGAGCCAAACAGGCCAGGGCTGGAGAGGCTTTTTTATGTGCCTGGATTTTTCAGGTTGACTTAGAGGAAGTGGAGGCTGATAAGAGTAGAGTTTATCTATCTCATTTATCTGCCTTTACTTTTAGACTATGGTAGGGGTCTAGTTAACACCCTTATGTTGCAATATAATTTCTCAACCATGTAGTTACACACTTTTTAGAGACTCCTTATAAGAATGCAGTTAAAAGATTTCTCTGATCACATTACCTAAGCAAGACAACCAAGAAGAAAAAACATTCCTTAACCCTTCTCAGGGACAGAAAACATCATTTCAAAAGTCCCAGAGCAAGAACTTTAAAAGTGAAGGTTATTCTGAAAAGCTATAAAAGCTAAAGATCAGTGTGAAATACAAATGGAAAATTAAAGTCACTTTAGGGCCTTTCCCAGCATCAAAATTAATTATTACATTAGTAATTGTAACTTTAAACCTTTCAAAGCACTCACCAAGTTCATCACCCTAGCCACAGGCTACAGGTAGTCTTTCCAAGTGTTAAGTTGTATCTTGTAAGATGGCAGGCTTGTGAGCTTCTAAATGACAATGCCTTAGGGCTGGATTTAGTCTTTCACCAAGAAGCAGACACAGTACAGATCACTGAGTCATAAAAATCACCAACTCCTATCAGCCTCCATGGGAGGTGATGTTTAGTTCCTTAAGAAAGTGCCAGAATGTTTTTCAGCATGGCTGTACCATTTTACTTTCTCACCAGTAGTGTGTGAGTGATCCAGTTTCTTGGTGCTCTTGCCAGCATTTAGTGTGGTCACTATTGTTTCTGCTTCATCATTCTTGTAGGCTTGTAGTGATAGCCCACTGGGGTTTTAATTTGCATTTCCCTGATGGCTAGTATATGGAACATCTTTTCATTACTTACCTGCCGTCAGTGTATCCTCTTCCATGAAACGTCTGTTCCTGTCCTTTAGCCATTTCCTAATTGGATAGATTTTTAATGCTGACTTTTGAATTTTTACTATATTCCAGATTATAGTACTTTGTTGGATATCTGATTTGCAGACATCTTCTCCCAGTCTGTAGCTTGTCTTTTCAGTCTCTTAATGGCATTATTTCACAAAGCAAAAGAATTTTGATGAAGTCCAGTTTATCACCTTTTCCTTTTATATGTTTTTATTGATTTTTTAGAGAGGAAGGAAGGGAGAGAGAGATAGAAACATCGATGTGAGAGAAAAACATCAACCGTCTCCTACTGTACACCCCCCAGTGGGGATTGAGCCAGCAACCTGGGCATGTGCCCTGACTGGGAATCAAACCGGGACCTCCCAGTTTATGGGACAATGCTCAATCCACTGAGCCACACCAGCCAGGTTCAACTTTTCCTTTTATGGGTCATGCTTTTTATGCCAAGTCTGAGAACTCTTTGCTTAGCCTTAGATCCTAAAGATTCTCTCCTATATATTTCCTAAAGTTTAATTTTACATTTTATCAAAAAATAGTGGGTGATCCATTTTGAGTTAATTTTTATATAAGATCTGAGACTTGGGTTTTATTTCTTCCTTTACAATCTGTTTCTCTTTCTTGCTTTCTTCACTGGCTGAAACTTCCAGGACTCAGTTGAATAGTTCCTAATCTTACAGGAAAAGCTTTCAGCCTTTTCACCATTAAGTACAATGATAGCTTTAGGTTTTTCATAGATGCTCTGTATCAAGGTAAGGAAGTTCCTTTGGGTCCTGTTTCTGTGGGTTTTTATCATGAATAGGTGTTGAGTTTTGTCAAATATTTTTCTGCATCAGTTGGTATGGTCGTTTGATTGATTGTTCTCTAGCGTACTAATATGTTGGACTACACTGATTGATTTTTGAATATTGAACCACTCCTACATTTTTGGAATAATCCTCACTTGATCATGCTGTATAATTCTTTTTGCATATTGTAAAATTACATTTGCCAATATTTTGTTAAGGATTTTCATGTCTCTGTTCATAAGGGATATATCATATTTCACCCCTTTGTCAAGATTCTCTCTCTTCATACCTGTTTCGGCATTTTTTCAGTACTAAAATTCCCATTTTTTTAATCTTCTGTTTCTTTACTGAAATTTTCTGTTTCTTTGCTTAGACTTTCTATTCTGATGGCTGCCTTAAACTCTCTGTCAGGGAACACTAGCCTGTCTGTCATCTCAGCTTTGACATCTATTAATTGTTTTTATAGTCAGTTTGAGATCTTCCTGATTTTTGGTATGAAGAGTGATTTTTTATTGAAACCTGGGCATTTTGGGTATTATGTCATGAGAGTGGTTTTTATTTTTTTTTTTATTTATTTTTTTTTTTTTTGTACAGAGTGGGAGGGAGAGAGAGGAAGAGAGAGAGAGGGAAACATCGATGTGAAAGGGACACATCGAGTGGCTGCCACCCACACGACCAACCAGGGCCGGGGACAAACTGCAACCGAGGTACATGCCCTTAGTGGGAACCGAACCCGGGTCTCTCCGGACCACAGGCAGACGCTCCAACCGCTGAACCAAACCGGCCAGGGCTGAGAGTGGTTTTTATTC